TACAGACAGAAAAGGCAGCTTGAACCCTTCAGCTTCAAGAGCCCAGGTGCCCCCCCTCCAAATCCCAGGCCCATTATAGGCTCCCACTCGGGAGATGGTGCAACGTCTTATAAACCCCGCAAGGGGCAGGAGTTGAGGCCACCCCTCCTGGCACAAGACTTCTCCTCTGGATTCTCTTGCAAGGATTCGAGTAAGTCACACAGGCTGCTCACTGAACAGGACCCCTGTGGAGGGGGGGGGCATGTTGGGGCTTTGTCTGGGTGACCTGGGTGAGGTGCTAGCCAGGGAGGGTGGGAGCAGCTCAGCCAAAGGAAACAAGAGCCCGGTTTGCAAAGAGCTGATGCTGAACATCAGATAATTTGGTTCAGAAAAAACAAAGGGCTCCTTTAATCGGCGTGTGGTTCAAGCGGTTCAGAAAAGAGCCGCCCCAATGGCCAAGAGGCTGGAGCGACTCCCCTCTTGATGGAGTTTTGCCGCATTCTTGGGTTAGAGGAAAAGCAGCTCAGTCAGTAGAGCACGAGACTCTTAATCTCGGCGTCTCTTTTGAGCCCCACAACGGGCAAAAAAAGATTCCATCATTGCAGGACTAGATGACCCTGGCGCTCGCTTCCAACGGTGCCATTCCACGGTTCATGATAGAAGTTTGTGGAATGACGCACGGTGTGAGAGAGTGGGGAGAGAAAGCTTTTTTTCCTCCCTCCCTCATAACACTGGAACTCAGTGGGGACATCCGAGGAAGCCGCTGGATTTAAAAATCTGCCCTGAATCTGTGGGACTCCTGCCTCAGGAGGCAGGAATGGCCACCAACCTAGATGACTTTAAAAGAGGAGTGGACAAGTTTGTGGAAGATAAGACTCTGGCTCTGGCTTTCGGCCAGGATGGATCTGCTCTCCCTCCACATCAGAGGCAGGGATGCTTCTGAAGGCCAGTTGTTGGAAACTGCAGGAGGACGCTCAGGTCTTCCTTGAGGGCATCCATCTGGTTGGCCACTGTGAGAAGAGAATCCTGGACCAGATGGGCTCCATTGGCCCTGATCCAGAAGGCTCTTCTTATCTTCTCATGGTTGAATTGAATTGAATTGATTTTTATTATTTCGGGCACAGACCAGTTCCAGCCCACATACAATATCAAGGAAGTCATAAAACACGATAGGGATACATTTGAATTTGCAATTAGGTATAACAGGGACAATACAGATATAGGAATAGTCAAAAAATATATAAATTAAAACTTAGTCGCTAACATATAACCTAAAATTATCATTTAAAACCTTAATCATTATGACGGCACAGCTTGTTCCCTAAGTTTTATGGCAATCACACAGAATTCGGCTACCTTTAACGTGATCTCAGGATCCTTGTCCTCTACCAGGGATTTTAGACATTGAAGTTCGGATTCATTTGGAGATTTTTGCACAGCAGGGGTAATACATACTGAGCGTATATCCCCATAAAAATGGCAGCATAGCAAGGCATGAGAGACAGTTTCTACCTCCATCAAGCCACAGGGGCAGACTCGTTCCACGTATTATGGATTACCCTCAAATCTGCCCTGCAATAAGGCAGATGGCAGCCCTCTCTTGTAAGATCTTCGCTGCCCACTGAAATGTCCTCCTCAGTATCCCAGAAGAAGGAGCTTTGTTGCGGCAGCTACATCTAAGGGATGGGACACAGAGGCGTAGGAAGGTCAGGTGGTACCCAGTGCCGAAAACTTCTTGTCACCCCCCCACACACATTTATTTATTTATTTATTGTCTGCAAAAATGGCTTTACGTTACTTCATATTTTCTTACAAAGGAATGTGGATTCCGAGCCTCTGGTAACAAGTAGGCGACTATGGACAGATACTTAAATCTACAGGATGGATTGTGTTTTAGCTTGCGTTGTTTTATTTCTATTTCTATTTATTGTTTATTTATTTTATAAAATTTATTTTTAAAAACCTGAAGATTGGTTTACCAAAACAAAACAAAAAAACCACAGCAGTAAAATCAAGAAAAATTAACAATCTTACTTTAAAATATACAAAAGCTAAAATATTAAGATTGAAATTGCTTCCTAAGCACCTAGGTATGCTTGCCTATAGAAGAATGCTTCTAGCAGGTGTCCGAAAAGAGTCTAGCAAAGGCACGTGCTTTGTTGAAATTTCAGCCTTCACGACATAGGAAAACGGCTAAGTATACAGCTATTTGTGTGGAGGAGGGTCAAGATATTAACTGATATGCATGAAATTTCATATGTAGCTATATAATCCCTAGTGTAGTAAGATAAGACCTTTGGAGAAGGCATTTTTTTTAAAAAAAAGTTTTTTAAGAACCGCCCTAGTAGGGCAGTAATTGTTCCTTGATAATTTGTCAACCCCCGCTCCGTGATGGCGCCTGGGGCGGCCCGCCCCCCCTTTCCTATGCCCCTGATGGGACAACCAAGGCTCATGGGTGGCGTATTCCTTCACCTGCCTCACCTGGTCGCCAGGTAGGAGAACGATAGCTGGAGAGGTGGGTGTGAGATGGACACACAGAGACTGGCTTGCTCCATGCTGGGGCGACGCTGGGGGTTCACACTACGGTGCGATATGATATCTTTATTGTCATTGTCCCATACAAAACAACGAAATTGAAAAATCTACATCAGACATTCAAAAAAACCCACAAGCCTGCTATCCCAACCTGGTTAGCCCCCTAAAAATTTTGATACCCCATAATGAAATACAATATACTCCCATACAGACGCCTTACAATGAGTTTAAAACCAAAATTGCATTTGGGTAGAAACTGTTTCTAGTCCTAGTCTTTATAACCACAAGAGACCAGGGTCCTGTGGGACTTGATATCTTTCCGCAGGGCCTGCAAGACAGAGCTGTTCCACCTGGCCTTTGGTTTGGACTCAGTCTGACCCTTATGTTTCCCTCCCCTTATGGTCTTGATTTATCGGCCACTTTTAAAATGAGGCTGCATTTTAAATTGCATTTTAACCTGTATTTTAAATTGGGTTTTTCTTTTTTCTTTTCCCCCTATTATGTTTTTACTGTGATTTTATTGGTGTTGACCGTCCTTAGCCCGGCTCTGGCCGGGTATAAATAAAATTTATTATTATTATTATTATTTTATTATTATTATCTTTCTTGGATGCTTAAGCTGTGCTTCCTGCCTCACAGGGGGCTGGACTAGAGGACCCCTGAGTTCCCCTCCAGTTGTCCACTTCCATGATTCTAGGTCTAGATGCACCCCTGGCCTGATCCTGCAGGATTTCCTCTCCAGCTCCGCCATGTTTCCCCTCTGCTCTGAATCCCCAGGTGTGACACGAGAGGCACCATGTCACTCTCCAACTGGACGGAGGGCGAGGAGACTCCGCAGATCTTCATCCTGAGGGACATCCCTGGACTGGGCTCTGCGCACAGCTGGCTGATGCTCCCACTGGGCGCCATGTACCTCATCTCCTTCGTGGGCAACTCCACCATTCTGGCCGCCATCCGCGCAGGGCAGGGTCTCTGTGCCCCCATGTACCTCTTTCTGGCCATGCTGGCGCTGGCTGACCTGGCGCTCTCGGCCTCCACGCTGCCCTCCATGCTCAGCGTCTTCCTCCTGCGCTCCGGGGCGGTGAGGGCCGAGGCCTGCTTTGCCCAGCTCTTCTTCATCCACACCTTCTCGGTCACGGAGTCCGCCATTCTGCTGGCCATGGCCTTTGACCGCTTCGTGGCCATCTGGAACCCTCTGAGATACGCCTCCATCCTGACCGGCTCCGCCACCGCCAAGATGGGCCTGGCCATCGTCCTCCGGGCCGTGATCCTGCACCTGCCTCTGCCCTTCATGCTGCGCAGGCTCAAATACTGTGGGGCCAAGGCGCTCTCGCACTCCTACTGCGTCCACCCGGACGTCCTCAAGGTGGCCTGTTCGGACACTCGCCCCAACAGCGCTTATGGCCTCTTTGTCCTCCTCTCCACGCTGGGCCTGGACTCCGTCCTCATCCTGCTTTCCTACGGCCTGATCCTGAGGACCGTGCTGAGCATCGCCACCTGGAGGGAGCGCGTGAAGGCCCTCAACACCTGCGTCTCCCACCTCTGCGCCGTTCTCCTCTTCTACACGCTGCTCCTGAGCCTCTCCATGATCCACAGGTTTGGGAAGAAAAGGAAGGCGTCTCCCCAGGTCTACCTGCTGCTGTCCTACCTGCACTTCCTCCTCCCTCCAGTCCTCAACCCCGTCATCTACAGCGTCAAGACCAAGGAGATACGCAGGAGGGTCCTTGGGATGCTCTGCCGCAAGGGCTCAGGGGCCAGGCGCCGACTGTGAGAGTGGCTTGGTCATGGTCAATTCTGTGTCCAGCGCAGCTGTTTACCAGCCCCATGTGGTATGCAGGCTGAGACTGTCTCGCCAGAGTGGTGCATGCTCTATCTCCTGCTTGGACTACTGCAATGCGCTCTACGTGGGGCTACCTAATCCAGAATGCGGCAGCTAGACTGGTGACTAGGAGTGGCTGCCGAGACCACACAACACCGGTTCTGAGAGATCTGCATTGGCTCCCAGTATGTTTCTGAGCACAATTCAAAGTGTTGGTGCTGACCTTTAAAGCCCTAAATGGCCTCGGCTGAGGTCCAGCACCGAGGGCCTTCTGGTGGTTCCCTCACTGCAAGAAGCCAAGTTACAGTGAACCAGGCAGAGGGCCTTCTCGGTGGTGGCGCCCGCCCTGTGGAACACCCTCCCACCAGATGTTAAAGAAAACAACAACAACCAGTCTTTTAGAAGACATCTGAAGGCAGCTCTGTTTGGGGAAGCTTTTAATGTTTAATAGACTATTGTATTTTAATGTTTTATGATGTTAGCCACTCTGAGCCTGGCCTCGGCTGGGATACAAATGAAAATTATTATTATTATTTTCCAAAGCCTGGTCACCACTGCTGCCTCCAGAGCCCCCTAGATGATCCTCCTGCCCTCCGGGGGGGGGGCGGGGCTCCTACCCCAGGCCTAGAGGGTTGGGGCTCACTCAATAAAAACAACCTGGACAATATGAACAAAAACGGGACAACTTTATTCAGCCAATAAACACCAGACACAGCATTTAAATTAACATAGTAGCTAAGACCTGGTGGGAAAAAAACCCCCATACAAATCAAATATTTCTATACACCAAAAAAAAAAAAGGTAAAAGGGTGGTGGGGGGCGGCGGCTGGGTTCAGAGGGATTCAGCAGGAGCCTGCAAAACAATATAACCGTGTAGAAAGACAGAATGAGAATCCTGTTCTTTATCCTGGGAGGGTCCTGTCCAGCACCCCCCCCCCAGGTAAATGAGGGCGGCCTCTGCCTGGGGACCCCCTGGCCCCAAAAAGGAAAACAAAGGACCGGCAGCGGCAGAAGATTAAGGACTCTGGCCAGGCTGCCTTTGGAAGAGGCACCAGAAACCAGAGACTCAGAGGAGCCCTGGTGGGGGCGGCAAGAAGGACTTTGACCCCCATCCTTAGGGGAGAGAGGCCCCAGAGAGGCGCCCCCCCCCCCATGGGAGCAGCCAGGAGCTGGAAGGAGGAGGAAGCAGCCCTGCACCCCCTCTGCCCATCCAGTCAAAAGACGAGGATGCAGAAAACCGACCTGCGTCTTGCAAGAGCGGAAAGAGAGACGAGGGGGCTTCCCTTGGGGGGGGAAGACTTTAAATGCTGATAAAACTTTGGCTGAGATGGGGACTTTGGGCTGGATTTGAAACCCCCCCTTTTTTTAAATAGGAAGCAGCAAGACTCAAATTCTCGGTGTCTTTTAGAGCGGCGTCGCCAGCAAGCCCTGAGCTCCAGCTTCCCAGTCGCCCTTGGGGCCAGACGCTACTTCTTCTGCATGCTGCTGCAGAGCTGCGCAAGGTGAGTCTGGAAGGAGGAAGAAGCAGAGGGAAGTCAAGTGGCTGAACGTCCCTCTCCCCCCCAGGCAGGAACCACGGAGTCGTTGGAAGGGACCCCCAGAGGTCATCTAGCCCAGCCCCCTCCCACAAAAGGGGACGGCTCCATGCCCACTGGGAGGCCAGCGACCCATCGAGTCCAGCATCCTGTCCTCACACTGGCCAAATGTCCTTGTCAACCTAGGGACCCAGATAGACTGCCCCTGGACCTGGAGGCTCCATAAGGGCACCAGAAGAGGAGCTTGGTGGATCAGGCCCATAGCCCATGCAGCCCAACATGCCGCCCTCACAGTGGCCCATCATGGCAAAGCTGCAAGCTGGAGCTAAGCGTAAGAGCAACTCTCCCAGGACTCATGTTCCCATGTGGTGGGGGTGTAAATATGTACAGTTTTGGGGGGGCAAAGGGACCAGAGGTACTATTATTATCAATTTACGATGGGGTGGAAGGTTTGCAGGCTATGAAGGACTTGCTCACAAAATCATCAACAGCTGCACGAGATATTATAACTAGGAAGTGGAAGGGGCAAGGTGAATATAAAATGGAAGAATGGTACGAAGAGGGGGGGGGGGGGATATACCGTATTTTTCACTCTATAAGACACACCAGACCACAAGACGCACCTAGTTTTTGGAGGAGGAAAACAAGAAAAAAAAATTCTGAATCTCAGAAGCCAGAACAGCAAGAGGGATCGCTGCGCAGTGAAAGCAGCAATCCCTCTTGCTGTTCTGGCTTCTGGGATAGCTGCGCAGCCTGCATTCGCTCCATAAGACGCACACACATTTCCCCTTACTTTTTAGGAGGGAAAAAGTCTTATAGAGCAAAAAATACGGTAGCTATTCATGAGAAATCAACATGTGGCTCAGGACCTCCAAGGTGTTGTCATTTGTAGACCGTAAGGTCCTCCGCGGGGCATACCGAGAGAAGTGGTCCCATAGGTACATGGGTCCTAGGCCGTGAAGGGCTTGAAAGGTTAAAACCAGCACTTTAAACGTGACCCTGTACTCCACCGGGAGGCAGTGCAACTGGAAAAGCACTGGGTGAATATGCTCCCATGGCAGAGACCCCGTGAGGAGCCTCGCTGCAGCATTCTGCACCCGCTGGAGTTTCTGGGTCAGCTTCAAGGGCAGCCCCACATAGAGCGAGTTACAATGATCAAGCCTGGAGGTGACCGTCGCGTGGATCACAGTGACCAGATCAGGGCGAGGAAGGTAAGGGACCAACTGCTTAACAGTTAAACTCTGTGCTGCATGAATAAGTCCTCCCTCTCCCCCGTCCTAAATCCCACCCTCCCTTCCAGGGCAGAATCTGCAAACTGCTCCCCCCATCAGGAATGGGCTGGGAGGAAGCCGAGGGCAAGATCCCACCCCTTCCGCCAACCCTTGCGCTCTTCCAGCTCAAGAGGAGACCGTTCCCACTCCAGAGCTCCACCTGCTACGCAGGCTGAGACCCTCCCTGCCCGCGGACTGTCTTGCCAGAGTGGTGCATGCTCTAGTTATCTCCCGCTTGGACTGCTGTAATGCGCTCTACGTGGGGCTACCTTTGAAGGTGACTCGGAAAGTACAACTAGTCCAGAATGCAGCAGTTAGACTGGTGTCTGGGAGCGGCCGCCGAGGCAACATTACACCGGACTTGAAAGACCTACATTGGCTGCCAGTACGTTTCTGAGTACAATTCAAAGTGTTGGTGCTGACCTTGAAAGCCCTAAACGGCCTTGGTCCAGTATACCTGAAGGTGCGTCTCCACCCCCATCGTTCTACCCGGACACTGAGGTCCAGCGCCGAGGGCCTTCTGGTGGTTCCCTCACTGCAAGAAACCAAGTTACAGGGAACCAGGCAGAGGGCCTTCTCGGTAGTGGCGCCCGCCCTGTGGAATGCTCTCCCATCAGATGTCAAAGAGATAAACAACTACCTGACATTCAGAAGACATCTTAAGGCAGTCCTGTTCAGGGAAGCTTTTAATGTGTGACATCTTAATGTATTTTTGGTCTTTGTGGAAGCTGCCCAGAGTGGCTGGGGAAACCAAGCCAGATGGGTGGGGTATAAATAATAAATTATGATTACTTTTATTATTATTATTATTACAGAGAAGGGAGGAAGGATCCTGGGAAAGGGGGTGGGGGGCTTCCAGGCAGGAGCAGCGAGGCGGCCCACCCGCCACCGGCAGAGACTTACCGAGAGTTTCTTCACCCTCCCCAGCACCTCCGAGTCCAAGCGCCGCAGGTCGTTGGTGGAGAGTTCGCTGGCTCGGATGCAGACGCTCTGGGCAGGGCGAGAGGAGAAGCGAGTTACTCCATGTGGCCGCTTGGGATTCGAGGGGAAAGGCTTTGGAAGGAAGTCTGGCAGGTGAGAAATGAACGGCTCCAAGCGGGCGGGAAGCATCCTGCCTCTTCCGCGAAAGAAGGAGGTGGGCACGTTCCAAAGCGCATGAACCTAAGAAGAGCCTCCTGGCTGCTGGATCAAGCCCATCGTGCCCAGTGTCCCTGTTCCCACAGCGGCCAAATCCCCCTAGGAAGCCAGGCAGACTGCCTCTGGCGCTGGAGGGGGCTAATCCTGCCCAGAACACTCTTCCCACAGAGGCCAGTCAGATGCCCATTATGGGATCCAAGCGCAAGAGCAACTCTCCTCCAGTTTCCCAAGAACTGGGATTCGGAAGCATTTACGGCCTGCAACCTCGGAGTCAGAGCAGAGCCCCTCTGGCCAACGACGGTACTCTTTGCCAGCCGAAGCAGCTGTCGCCGCCTTCTAGGGACCACGACGAGCGCCTGGCACCTGTGCCCGCCCCCCTCCCGACACTCCCGTCTCCCCTGGTCCTGGGCTTCCTCTGCTGCAGGGCGTGGATCCAGGCCTTACCTCCCCTCGGCCGGAGGGAAGCGTGATGATGACATCGCTGCTGTCGGCAAGGGGGCTGCCGTTGGCGGACACGCTGAAGACTCGCTCGTGCGCCGCCGGGGTCCGCAGGCCGGGCGTCTTGAAGATGCTGCAGAGGATACATGGAAGGCCGCGTGAGGAGCTCCCCTGGCGCGCCCATTGCCATGACAGGCACAACAAAGGCAGCCTCTCTCGTCTCCGCTTGGTGGGGTTGTGAGGAATGCGTAAAGAAAAGGAATCCTACATTTGCCTCTCCCACACAGCCCGCAAGGAATCTGGGGTAAGTAACATCTGATTGGTTGAAAGGTTTTTTTGGAGGGTGTGTGTGTGTGTGTTATATGGAACTTTTTATTCTCAGAGCTCCTTGCGCCCCTGAGGGCTTCCAGCACAGGTTTACGCTCCTCTTGCTCCCTCATTTCTTGCAAGGCCTTGGCAGCAGACGACACCTGGGCTCAGAGATCGGCATCATTTCTTTTTTTATGTTCTGTTTCCATTTTTTAAAAGAATATTCTTATACATTCAGATCATTTTCAATTTCTACACTTCTGGGATTACAGTGGATGCTCAGGTTGTGAACGTGATCCGTGCGGGATGCACGTTCACAACCCTCAGCGGCGTGTCTGCGTATGCGTGGGTTGCGATTCAGCTCTTCTGCGCATCCGCGACCACCGAAACCCTGAAGTAACCCGTTCCAGTACTTCTGGGTTTCGTCGGTCCACAACCCGAAAAAATGCAACCTGAAGCATCTGTAACCCGAGGTATGACTGTACTTAAATCCCTCAGACTCTCCCCCCCCCCCCGCCTGGTTTCCAATTTCCCCCTATTTTTATTGCATCTAATTACGTTTTTCCAATCCATTTTATCATATTTTTCACCTTAAATCATATTACATTATAAGCCACATAACAATCCTGCTAACATTTTTAAGTATCTGCAGTGGTCCTTAAGATATTCTATAATTTCCCCTCACTCTTGACTAAATTTCTTATCATCTTGGTGTCTGATCTTCACGGTCATCTTTGCCATTTTGGCGTAGTCCATCACCTTGGTCATCTACTCTTCTTCGGCTGGGACTGAGATCGGCACCAGTTTGCGACTGGGCCAAGTTCAAGGCCTTTCCATTAGCATAGAAAACCCTTAACTGCTTGGGACCAGTTTACCCGCGAGATCCCCTTATCCCACAGGCGCCTACACGACCCCTTCCGTCAGTGGAGTGGGCCCATAATACCTCTCTGAATTTGCAATAACTCAATCATTTAGTATGGCAGCACGGAGCCTCTGGAACTCCCTGCCTCTTGAGATCAGGCAGGCGTCTCCCCCCTACCCCTTCTGGCACCCGCTAAAAACATCCCTGTAAATTTCATGAAATAAATGTTAAACAAGCCAAGAAGGCCAAACCCAGAGCGATCACCCTGGAAGAGGAGTTCTGCCCACAAATGCCAGGCAGCCAAGAAGGGGCAGCAAGGGGTATGTGTGTGTGCCCCCCACCTGGAGCCTTGACCGCAGCAGCTCTCGGAGCCTGGCCCCTCCCAGTGCACACTCAGTTCCCAGGTGGGCAGGGAGAGGGCTCACCTGGGGTCAAACTTGGGAGTGGGTGCCACAGTCAGGCCCTGTTGGATTGTCTGTCCAGCCGGGGTGGTAAACTTCACTTTGCTTCCCCTGTTAAAAAAAAGAAGAGAGCCATGGGGATGCAAAATTGCAAGAGGAGCCTAACCGCTGCATCGCAGCAAGGGCACACTGCCCAACTTTTTCAGACCCTAAGCCAGGACATGCGTCTTCTGGGAGCTGTGTGAGATCATTGCCCTGAAAAAGCGCTTTTTTTGCAGGGGTGAGCGCAGCATACAAACTGGTGCCGTGATCTCGCGCAAGGAAACAGAACGTCCCATTTTCCTGACAAGACAGGACTGTTTGGGGGGACAGGAGGCAGGCAGGTGTGGAAGACTTCCTGTCCTGGATGGGGTGACTGTGCCCCTGAAGGACCAGGTGTGCAGCCTGGGAGTCATTCTGGACTCACAGCTGTCCATGGAGGCGCAGGTCAATTCTGTATCCAGGGTGGCTGTTTATCAGCTCCATCTGGTACGCAGGATGAGACCCTCCCTACCCACAGACTGTCTCACCAGAGTGGTGCATGCTCTAGTTATCTCTTGCTTGGACTACTGCAATGCGCTCTATGTGGGGCTACCAGAATGCAGCAGTCAGACTGGGAACTGGGAGCGGCCGCCAAAACCATGTAACACCGGTCCTGGAAGACCTACATTGGCTCCCAGTATGTTTCCGAGAACAATTCAAAGTGTTGGTGCTGACCTTTAAAGCCCTAAACGGCCTCGGTCCAGTAGACCTGAAGGAGCGTCTCCACCCCCATCGTTCTGCCCGGACACTGAGGTCGATCGCCAAGGGCCTTCTGGCGGTTCCCTCACTGCGAGAAGCCCAGTTACAGGGAACCAGGCAGAGGGCCTTCTCGGTGGTGGAGCCCGCCCTGTGGAACGCCCTCCCATTAGATGTCAAAGAGAACAACTACCAGACTTTCAGAAGACATCTGAAGGCAGCCCTGTTTAGGGAAGCTTTTAATGTTTGACAGACCCACTGTATTTTAATGTTTTGTTGGAATCTGCCCAGAGTGGCTGGGGAAACTCAGCCAGATGGGCGGGGTATAAATAATAAATTATTATTATAAATTATTATTATTATTATTATTTATTATCATTATTCCTAGGGCGCTTGGAAGGTACGCAAGAGATACACTCTGCTCCCGCGATTCCCAGAAACCTCCAGCCGGAGAGCTGCCATGGCTGGTGGCCTTCGAGAGCCCTCTGCGGACGCATCAACCCCACGGCCGGGACAGGGAGGGTCTCTCGGGAGGGAGCCCCCTGCCCAACCCCGCCCTGCCCTTACCTTCTGCTGAAGCGGGTAGACCTGGCCGATGGAGGCCTGGGCTTTCGGGCCGACGCCTTTGCCTGAAATGCAGAAGTCCAGGGTTGTAAAGACTGAGGAGAGAGTAACTGGGTGCCCTCTTCCCACCTTGGATCAAATCTATGCTTCCAGGTGCCCTAAGAAAGCTGCAGAGATAGCGCAGGATAGTGTGCACCCCGGAAATGATCTCTTTCAGCTTCTGCCTTCTGGAAGAAGGTACAGGGTTATAAAGACTAAGACGAGCCGCCTGAGAAAAAGTTTCTATCCAAATGCGATTTTGGTTTTAAACGCAGTGTAAGGAGTCTCTGTAGGAGTATATTGTATTTTAAAAATGGGTTTAAAAATGGGTTTTTAAGGGGCTATCCAGGTTGCGATAGATAGGATAGTAGGATCGTTGGTTTTGAATGTCTTATGTGGATTTTTTTTTCCAATTTCGTTGCTCTGTTTGGGACAATGACAATAAAGATATCATAGCGTATCGTACTTCTGGCACTGCTCTTGGGATCCCTTCCAACCCCACAATTCTATGGAGTGGAGTTTTCAAGGAAGCAAAGTCTCCTGGGGGTCGGCAGGTATGTTAGGGTGCCTCACCTTCCCTGCTTTCTGCGGAAGAGCCTCACTTCCCGGCTGGGGTGCCGCAGGATCCTCGCTCTGCTGCCTGGACCTCTTGCCTGCAGGCAGAGGAGAAGACGGCCCCGACTCCTCGCTGATGGTCTCCGCGGCCTGGCGGGCTCTCTTGGCTGGGAGACATTGAAAACACAAGAGGAACACAGAGGGTGAGGCGTCATTCACCAGCACTGCGGAGGACAGGGAAACTCATGAGGAGACCGCTCTGGCCCTCCAGCCCCCAAGGCGGCCCTTCACTGACCTTTCCTGGCCGTTTTGAGAGGGGTCTGAATAGCTTCAGAGGCCAGTTTGGTGATCTCCAGCATGTCCAAGTCCACCTGAGAAATTAGACAGAAGACTTGTGTAACACACTGGAAGGAAGGAAGGAAGGAAGGAAGGAAGGGAGGGAGTTCAGCCTACACTCGAGTAGGACCATGGCAGAGACACATGCCCGACTGGCATGTTTCCTCCTTCCTGGTCGTTTGTTCGGGAGCTTCAAAAGCTTTCTTCTGCCCAAACATCACAGCGACTGATGCCAACAGACACCGGCACACTTAGGGATCCGCAGAGTTTGCGCATCATGCACGTGACAGACCTCAGCAACTCAGCATTTTGGCTAATCTACTTTATTTGCATATAAACACATGCAGAGCACTGCAACATGGCTCCCTCTCTCTAGCATCAGACAGCAAAGAGAAAAAGAACAAAGGACAATAGTCCCACTTCACGGAACACAGTATCACAAACATCCTGTCTCCGTCACTTCCCACTCTGTGGAGTCAAAACATACACCGTCATGTGATAGACAAAAATCCCATGACTGCAATCATGGAGCAGGAATTCTAACAGTTTTGTGGAGGAAGCTGTCTGGGGACTGCAAGTTCCACCTGGAATTTGGTGATGGGGGGCGCCACCTACCGAGACGGCTTTCTCCAGGACTTGCTCGCATCCTCCGACACCTAGAGAGAAAGCAAGCGCCGTGATCAGAACACAACCGGCAACCACCAAAGGAGAAAGAACAGCTGCAGCTTTGTCCTCCACAAGGGAAGGAGCTGAGCAACCAGCCAGAGAGAAGGGGGTGATTTCTTAGTGCAACATGCCACGCAGGAGGGATCCGGATAAGAGCTGCTCCTTGCCTGCGTTGCAGAGTGGCCTCTGCTGGGAGCTTAGAGCAGGGTTACCAGATGTCCTCGGTTCCCGGGGACAGTTCCCAGATTTGCAAATCTGTCCCGGGGAAACGTGGCAGCGGTTGTCTCAGCAGCCCAGAGCCAACCTGGTAGCGCATTTGGCTCTGGCTGGCTTCAGGAGCTGCTCGCTGCCATGGCGCCTGCCATTTTCCCTTGCCGGAAGTCCCCATATGATGTGCGCAACACATCTGGGCTTCTGACTGCTGCTGCCACTGCCAAAGGGGAACTGGGGACGGCCGGTGGTACAGATCTCCTGCCCCCTTCCCCTTTTGTTTTGACTGATCGCGGGAGGCTCGGGAGTTGCGGGTGGGGAGCCGTTGCCCAGTTTTTTAAAAAACTCTGCACACTTATGTTTCACAGGGTGTGAAAGAAGGGCTTTGCACCTTTATACATTACGCATGTGTGCTTGGGCCCAGGGTCTTTTGCCTCACCATCCCCACTACTTTTTTTTTTTTTTTTTATAATTGATATTTATTAAATTTTCAAAAGGATAACAACGAAAATTTCCAAAAAAAAGAAAAAATAAAAAAATTTGAAAATACAAAAAACAAAAATAGTACATAAACAAAAAAGAAAAGAAAACCCAGCCGCAGAAAAAGAAAAAAGAGAAACAGAAAAACAAAAATATGAAGTCCTTTACAATCTCTATTGACTTCCTTTCTAGACTTCCTCCTCCTCCCCTCTTTTGTTTCTTAATTTTTATTTTTTACAGCAAATCCTTTCTGTTTTTTCATAACAATCTGCCATTACGTTTCCTTATTCTATTTTCCCTCTTGTCATATAAAAACTTTAAACCTTTTTACAAATCATTTACCAATCCTTACTTAAGCCATGTAATTTCATTCAACATCCTTCAAACATTTATAAGCATTCCCAATATTAAAAAATAAAAAGGAAAGAATAATAAGTCAAATTCAATCCAGTCAGCTTCCAACCTCCCTCCCCTGGACCCGGGATTGTCAGTCCTTTTAACCTCTTAACCTGGTTGTCTCGTATCCGAGGCCCTCAAGTCTCTGTCTTGCCCCTTTCGCCACTCTTGTTGATGATTCCTTTCCAGTCGTGGATGCTCCAGCAAGAAAATGCTTTTGACCCTTTGCGGCAAGTCCATCCCAAACCCACTGCCCAAGCCAGACAGCAAGTAATACCACTTCAGATTTCCACAAAGCTTGGAGACTTCGGCTACTCCAATCCTCTGATAGCCCATCACCAGACTCGGAAGGTCCAAATAACCATATGGAGGGGGGTCAATCCATCCCCCCATTTCCAAATCTGACCACATTTCATCTTTCCGAATCTGGTTTGTCCCAAGTTCATTTGTCAAGTTCAAAGGCTGATCTTGCCCGTCCAAAGGTCCCTCTATCTCTGAAGCCTCCATCACTACAGCAGGTTCATATACTTGTATAGCCTTTAACTGAATTTCATTTGTTTGCTGCTGTGCTCTGGTGACTTCCATCATCAAGGTCGTCTCACACATCTGGTCCAGCTGGGCACTTAGTTTTGAAAAGCCTTCCATGAACAATTGTTCAAGCCTTTGTACTAGCATTGTTCTTCAAGGTCAAAAAAAAATTCTTTCCCACGGCAATAGTCCAATAGTCCTTCTCTTTTAGTCTCTCTGCGTTGCAGTTTCACTGAATTCCACTAGATGGAAATTCTTATTTTTTTTTTTTTTTAAAAAGGAATAAAAGCAACAGCAACAATCTTTCTTTTTCCAGAAACACTTTATCCAGAATTCCCCCTTCCAAATTCAAGAGGCAACAATAGAATCAAAATGTTACCCTTCTTTTAACTAACTGTCAAGTTAGATAAACTTCAGAACGTCAATTCTGACAGCCCGCTCCTGGTTCAGGGCGGTGGAAAATTGCTTTATTTTAAACTCACTTCCGCAGGGTTAAAGAGTCCAAATACAACCCCCTTCTTCTCCTGCAATCGAAGGGGGGGTTCAGAAATCTTAGATGTTGAATTCTAGTTCTCTTAAAATTTAGTTTTCAAGCTTTAATATATTTTATCTTTGCTTTCTTCACATAACAAAAGAACGGAAGGCGACTTCCTGTTTAGACCTTCCCATTCCGAGTCCCAATTAAGTTCAATTTCAAGTCCAATATTATTTGTTTTTTTTTTTTCACCAGTCTTAAAAGTGGTTCAGCTCTTCCAAGATCAGGTACTCACGGATAGATATTTTAGATGCCAAATTGTCCAGGAAAAAGGCAGCGCTCTCCGATAACGGCAGTGCGGCTTTGCTGCACGGAGGAAGCAGACGACTCACAGCACCACGCACCTCCCACTCCGGAGCCCGTTACCGAGCTCCTGTACAAGGGGAGAGAGCGCTCTCGGTGCCCGCCGAGTCCCACGTCCACAGGCTTCTTCCGCCTGTGGTTTTTGCGGGTCCCCGCTGCGCCGTAGCGGCAGGACCCAAGCCTCCGTGCAGCGGGTTCCCTTCAGTCCGAAGGGAATTCCGCCATTTTCCGGAGGCGCCACCCCGGAAGTCCCCCACCATCCCCACTACTGACTCCCTATTGCTACTACTCAGCTTCAAAAACAAAAAAGTGCCCCTGGATTCATTGAAAAAAATCTGGTAGCCATAGCTTAGAGGGCCTGTGCTGCCCATCACATTTATAACCCGCCTTTTCATCCCAGGAGCTCCAGCGTTTGATCCTCACAACGACCCTCCGAAGCAGGTTCAGCTGAGCAAAAGGCCCCAGGTGGGGATTTGAACTCTGCTCTCTCCCAGGTCCTAGGCACTAACCACTGTGAAACACTGCCTCTCCCGCACAGGAACATTCTCCCAGCAGAGATTCGGCAGAGGCTCCCTCGCTACCCACTTCCTTTTTTGAGCCAGCAAGTCTTTGCAGCAGTTCTGTATTTTGATCAGTCGCCTGAACGATCGTCTGCATTTATTTGCTTTATTTTAAATGATGCTTTTTAGCCCAAAAGGCCTGGATGTAGGTTGTGATGTGGCAGTACAGAAATACTTTTCTAAATAAATCAGGGCAAGTTGCTTTTCACTGGCGTCGGTCGGCCTCGGGGGGAGACAATGGAACAGTGCGCCTTGCGGGGGGGGGGAGAGAGAGCCAAAATTAGTGTGCCAACTTTACTTTAGATTAAATAAGTTGGAGTTCTTGTTATTAAACATACCAAGAAAAAAGCACACCAAGAACTCAGGCCAATGTAAGTTTCAGTAGTGCGAGTGGTCTCTACTCACAAGTCAATAGTCAACAGTAACAAAAACTAATCCATTCAAAAGTATGTATTCTGACAATTAGAAGCCAGTAGTTGTTATCCCTGAGAAACGGGATATATTTATCCGAAAGTCTTCAAACTTTCACAACCCTTTAAAAATTAGCTGATGAAGGTGAATATATCGAAACAGGGCCCTATCCTGGCTTCTAATCCATAACTGACTTCTGACTTCTGCTCTCTGATTGAAACTGAGTCTGCAAGCTGATAAATTATAAGGATCAACATTATTGTCGAATGAAAAAGAGAAAATCTTTGTAACGAATTATTGTGTTACACATATCTTTATGAGTTTGAGTTTGTGCTCTTTGTTAAGAGTTTGTAATCTCTACTTCAGTTTGTAATTCTTGTCAGAATACTTACTTTTGAATGGATGTTTTCTTGGTAACTTTAGAGACATTCAAAGAGGGCTAGAAAGATATTTCTCCTCCGCTGCCTCCCCAAGGCCTCCTTCCCTGTTCGATTTGCTCTTGCGCAGACCAGAACTTCTGCGAAAGCTTTGGGCGCTCAGGACCCCTGGAAGCACCTGCACCCCGCAAGACCCCAGAAATTCACCCCCCCCAAGCTCCATGCCCAATGCATGTCAGAGCAAAGTACCGTAGAAGCTGAGCCAGTTTATGTCCCTCAGGGCCACGGGATGGCGGAAGATTTCCATGTCGTACATGTTGTCAATTTCCTTCAGGAGAACCTCTTCCTCCATCCGGATGCGGTCGATGCGCAACTTGACTAGGGAGGAAGCAGAGAAGAGGCACGAGGAAGAGAGGGGCTCCGGATCCGTAAGGGGAGCCCTGCCCATCTAAGTCCAGCCTCCTCCTCTCCCGGTGGCCAGCCAGCTGCCCTTAATGGGAAACCAGCAAGTGGGGTCTGGGCACGAGAGCAGCCTTCTCCCCACACTGCCCCACGGTTTCCAGGAGCCCTCCATAGCCCTCTCCTCCTCCAAGGATTTCTTTCAAAGCCATCTAAGTTGATGGCCAGCACCGCCTCCTGTGGGAGGGAGTTCCACAGTCTAACTCTCTAACCTGAATCTCCCAACATGGCAGCTCCATGGGATGCCATGATGCTGAATTTTTATAAACTTTAACAAACAGCAGCAGCAACGACAACAATTTATTATGCTCTGGGCGGCTCCCAACAGAATATTATTAATAATAATAAAGCAAAAAACCATCAAACATTCCCTAAACAGGGCTGCCTTCAGATGTCTTCTAAACATGAGGTGTTTATTTCCTTGACATCTGATGGGAGGGCGTTCCACAGGGCAGGCGCCACTACTGAGCAAGCCCTCTGCCTGGTTCCTTGTAACTTGGCTTCTTGCAGGGAGGGAACTGCCAGAAGGCCCTCGGAGCTGGACCTCCGTGTCTGGGCAGAACAATGGGGTGGAGATGCTCCTTCAGGTCTACTGGACCGAGGCCGTTTAGGGCTTTAAAGGTCAGCACAAACATTTTGAATTGTGCTCGGAAACATACTGGGAACCAATGTAGGTCTCTCAAGATTGGTCTCGAAAACCGCTCCCAGTCACCAGTCTAGCTGCCACATTCTGGATTAGCTGCAATTTCTGGGTCACCTTCCAAGGCAGCCCCACGTAGAGTGCATTGCAGTAGTCCAAGCAGGAGATAACCAGAGCATGCACCACTCTGGCGAGACAGTCGCAGGCAGATAGGGTCTCAGCCTACATACCAGATGGAGCTGGTAAACAGCTGCCCTGGACACAGACTTGACCTGCACCTCCATGGACAGCTGTGAGTCCAAAATGACTCCCAGGCTGTGTACCTGGTCCTTCAGGGGCACAGTTGTCCCATTCAGGACCAGGGAGTCCTCCACACCCGCCCGCCTCCTGTCCCCCAAAAACAGTACTTCTGTCTTGTCAGGATTCAGCCTCAATCTGTTAGCCGCCATCCATCCTCCAATCACATCACCTCTTCCTCTAAACTAAAAAGTCCCAAATTCAGGAACTTTTCTTTGTAGCGCAGGGTGTGGGTGTGGTGTCTGCCTCCCCCTTCATCATTTTGGGTGCCCTTTTCCAACTCTACACTATCCCTTTTCAGGCGAGGCGACCAGAAGTGTCCCCAGTGCCCCAGAGATGCGTATAATGGCGTCATGAGAGCAACAGTTTCATTTGGCATGAAGCAGAAGAAGCGCCCCTGAGTCCGGCAAGTAAGTGAGCACCTTACCTTCCCGGTTAAAATCCTTGAGAAACGCATCCACCTTTTTGCTTCTGACCGAGTTCTTGCTGCCGGCCCTCGAGTTTTTCTTCTTCTGAGGCATGGCAAGGAGATGAGTTCTAGGGGGAAAGACCCAAACGTTGTCACAGAAGGGGCAGAGCTGGGCTACATCAGCCCCCAGCAAAAGAGGGCACAACCACACAGGGTAAGACATGGGCAGGATTTTAAGAACACTTGTAATTTCAGAAATAGTACAGGAAATTTGAGGTAAAGAAATAATTTGGAGTAGAAATGAGATGCAGTTGAAAAGAAAATTCAAGGAACTGGGGGGTGGGGTGAATCACGGGATTCGGAGAATCCCATTTTATGGATTCAATATTGTTTTTAAGTAAGGCTCCCTACCTTTTATCATTGGGGGCAGCAGAGAGAGGGAAACTACTCTGTTAATCTACATTAAACACAACTTAGAAAGAGTAAAAATTTCGAAGTCCGTCCTGCAGGCTCCCACTTCACACATGTCAATGTTTACGTATCCCTTGGCCAGGAAGGATCCCTGGCCCCTTCATTTGCTCTTCCACGGTCTCATCTAGAGATCACGCTAAGGGTGGCCAAATTCTGTGCGTCTGCCATAAAACTTAGGGAACAAGCTGTACTACCAAAATGATTAAAGTTTTAAATGACAATTTTAGGCTATATTTTAATGATTAAGATTTTAAACTGCTGCTATATCCGAACTGTCTCCGTTATACCCAATTGCAACCCAATGTATTCCTGTTGTGTTTTAGTATTTTTTTGACATTGAAAGTGAGCCAGAACTGGTCTGTGACTGTAATAATAAAATTAAATTCCCTCTGACACCCCCTAGCCTGGTCCCTTTGTCAGGGCTGAACAGCTGGGTTTGGTAGCTGGAGTGGGGGGCCGGAGGCTGAGGACCTGAGGGCACACCATGAGGATTTCGGAGTCCCTATTCCATCCAGGTCTGTATACTTAAAGCTCTGGTTTTCCCAGTAGTGATGTATGGAAGTGAGAGCTAGACCACAAAGAAGGCTGATCACTGAAGAATTGATGCTTTTGAATTATGGTGTTGGAGGAGACTCTTGAGAGTCCCATGGACTGCAAGAAGATCAAACCTATCCAATCTTAAGGAAATCAGCCCTGAGTGTTCACTGGAAGGACAGATCCTGAAGCTGAGGCTCCAAGACTTTGGCCACCTCATGAGAAGAGAAGACTCCCTGGAAAAGACCCTGATGTTGGGAAAGACGGAGGGCACAAGGAGAAGGGGACGACAGATGACCAGATGGTGGGACAGTGTTCTTGAAGCTACCAGCATGAGTTTGACCAAACTGCGGGAGGCAGTGGAAGACAGGAGGGCCTGGCGTGCTCTGGTCCAGGGGTCACGAAGAGGCGGACACGAGTAAACGACTAAACAACAACAAATTATTATTATTATTGTTGGCCCAATGATGTTTTTTAATAAACTTTTTATGAGCGGGATATTTTCTTTCTCCCCCCCCCGCGACTTTGGGGATATATTTGGGGCTCAGGTGGGGGGCTCAGGTGGGGGGCTCCCCTCCCCTCCCCTCCCTCCCTCCTACCTGCCTCTTTCTCCTCCGCCGGTTCCCCGCCAGCTCCGCTCCGCCGCCTCCCCGGTTCAAACTTGGGCGCCTGCGACGCCGCAGCCAATCAGCGCGCCTCGAACGCCGGCTCGGCCAATGGGGAGGCGAGGCGGAAGAGCGGCCGCGCCGACTCCGGGCAGGAAGACTACGTTTCCCGGCATGCCGAGGCGCGACAGGGGCGGCGGCGCGCTTAGAGCGCCTCTGGCGGCCGGGTGGGGAGATGCTGCTGCCGCCGCGCGGCGAGGGAAGCGGGGCGAAGGCGGGCGCCTCGGGGCAGAGACCTCCGCGCCATCGTGGCCGGCGCCTCTTGGGTTTGGGGGGGGGAGGAAGAGGGGGGTTATTTCCCCCTCCCTCTCTCTCTCCAGGCGCCCCGGAGGGAAGCGGCGGGGGCGGAGTGACTCCGTTTACACGGGGACTCCGGAGCGACTGCGCAGGGGAAGCGGAGCCGCGGGGGGCGGGGCGGGGTTCCCTCCCGGGGGGGGGGGCACAGCCGCAGGCTGGGGGGCTGCCTTGGCTTCGATGGGTCTCTATCTGCAGGTCTAACTCAGCTGAACTCCGGAGTGCCAAGTTGGAAGAAGATCCTGGAATTCTAGAGCAGGGAGGGCTGCTATAAAAGGCGTTTCAAAAAAGTTTAAAAAAAGTTTTGTTTTAAAGTCACAATTTTTTTGTTTTGTTTTAAAGATGTGTGGAGAACCCAACTGAAGAATGTAGAAATTGAAATTGAAATACTTGATTGTCACTTGTACAACTTGTATACAGTGGTACCTCGGGTTAAGTACTTAATTCGTTCCGGAGGTCCGTTCTTAACCTGAAACTGTTCTTAACCTGAAGCACCACTTTAGCCTATGGGGCCTCCTGCTGCTTCCGTGCCGCCGGAGCACGATTTCTGTTCTCATCCTGAAGCAAAGTTCTTAACCTGAAGCAATATTTCTGGGTTAGCGGAGTGTGTAACCTGAAACATATGTAACCCGAGGTACCACTGTACAGTGAGATTACACAAGCACCCCCCACTCAGCTCTCTTAGTCTTAATTCCCCTTGTTTACTGACGCACAGCCACCAAACCCAAAAGTCAGTTGCCCTGTTGTTCTCTTTTCATTCAGCAGCCTAACAGCCAACGGATAGAAGCTGTTCTTTACCCTGTTGGGGCGACTAATCCTGCTTCTATATCTTCTGCCCGAGGGCAGGAGATCAAGAAAGTGCCAGCCAGGGTGTGAATCGTCCCTGAGAATTTTCCTCACTCTCCTGAGGCAACGTTCTTCCGCTATTTCATCCAGCGGATTCCCGGGACAGCCCATAATATCTTGTGCTGTAATAATAATACCTTGTCCACCACCCTCTGTAGGCACTTTCTATCAGTTTTGATGTCAAACCAGCGTCCCACACCATGATGCAGTATGAAAGGCACTTTCTATTGTGGACCGGTAGAAGGAGATCATCAAATGTTGATTGACATCGTTCTTCCGCAAGACTCTGAGGAGATGGAGTCTCTCTTGGGCTTTCTTAACCACATGGGTTGTATTGATTTTCCAAGTAAGGTCTTCACTGAGATAAACTCCAAGGACTCCACACAGCCCTCCCCGATGTCCAGCGGGGCTAGTTCGCTCTTCCTCCGAAAGTCCAACACCATCTCCTTTGCTTTACTAAATGAGAAAGGGAGACGCCGGGACCCCAGGAAGAGCGTTGCTCTTGCGTCACAGGCAACCGCTTGGCCCCTGTGAGAACGGGAGAAGGAATGGACTCGGTGGCCTGATCCAGCCACCTCTTCTTCCGTCCTTATAGAACCTCCAGGTGCAGGGGCAGTCTGTCTGGATTCCTAGGTCCATGGGGGGGGGGGTAACTGACCGCTGCAAGGAGAGGATGCCAGACTGGACATTCAGTGATGTGACTGGGAGAGGGTGCCTTTGGGGGCTGGCAGTGGGGCTTGCTTTGGGGAGCGTAGAATGGCAGAGTTGGCAGGGGTCCCGTGTAGGAATCCCAGCTAAGAACTGAAATGCACCCAGAGGGCCTGTGGGGGGTGGGGAGGGGGGCAGAAATGCTGCAAAGTGACAGCCAATGACGCGAACGTGATCCTCGCGGATGACCAGCCAGGCAGCAATGTGAAGTAAAGGAGTAGCTCTCCCTCCATACTTGGCCCGGGGGGGGCTGAGGGGGGGGGTCTTCTTCCAGGGCTGCTCGAACCTCTCCAAAGTCTGCCGCTTAGAGGACCCTGGCTTTGCCCTGAGGGTTTCGCAGTGGGGTGCAGAGGCAAAGGCCTGCCCCACTGTTGGCTTGCCCCTTAGAGTAGCAGCCTCTAATTGATGCTGTTAATTTTGCCATCTCCGCGAATTCAAGAAATTCGGCTCTCCATTCTAATAATTCTGGTATTTTATCGGTTTTCCAGTTTTTTGCCACTACAATTCTGGCTGCTGCCATTGCCTAAAGGAATATATTCCTTTTATCCCTAGGGATGTCACTTGGTACCAAGCCCAGCAAAAATGCCTCTGGTTTTTTTAAAAGATCGATCTCCTAAATGTCTTTTTAAGCTCTTCACGTATCATAATCAGAATTGTTTTGCTTGCCGCTGGGTGTTGCTGCTGCTGCTCTCTCATGCCTCAGACGGACGCCCCACAACCCACACAGAGCCCCCACCTCTCCTGGCTGGGGCCACCCGTTCCTTTTGCATAGACAGCGAATGCCACCCCCCTCAGAAGCTCCTGGCGCCAGAGGCTGAGGTCTCCTCCACGGAGCTATCAGGAGGGGCCGCCTTTATCAGCCGCCTGCCAGGAGGCGCCTCCTGCCTGATATCCCCCAAATCTCCCACAAACAGGTCTCCTCAGAAGCACCCAGGGCTGCTCCACTCACACACCCTCCTGCTGCACCCACAGCCCCAGGAGAAGTCCTCCTCCAGGTCCTCCAGGGGCCCGTCAGCCGGGTGCCAGGACTTGGGAAGAGTGGCCTCCACCCCACCTGGACCTGCCCCACAGGGCTGGCCCAAAACAGTCTGGAGAGCCACATGGGGGGGCCTGGCGGCCCTCATGTGCTCCTCAAGCCGGACCCGCCCCGTCCTAAAGAGTCCAGACAAACAGACAAGCTCTCTCTCAAAACAAAATTTAAAAATTCCTTCCAGTAGCACCTTAAGAGACCAACACTGGAAGATGCTAATTTCGTTTCGACTATGGCAGACCAACATGGCTACCTTACCTGTAACCTCTCTCTCTTTCTCAACGTAAGAAGAGCAGGCTGGGTCAGGCCAAAGGGGGCCCAATGAGTCCAGCCTCCTGTTCTCCCCAAGGGGAAGCGCAAACGCAGGATCCGGGCCCCAGAGCAAGTCTCTCCTCCTGCAATTCCAGCACCTGGCATTCAGAAGCAATGCTGCCTCTGACTGTGGAGGCAGAGAAGAGTTTGGATTTGATATTCCGCTTTATCACTATCCTAAGGAGTCTGAAAGCGGCTAACATTCTCCTTTCCCTTCCTCCCCCACAACAAACCCTCTGTGAGGGGAGTGGGGCTGAGAGACTTCAGAGAAGTGTGACTGGCCCAAGGTCACCCAGCAGCTGCATGTGGAGGAGTGGAGAAGCGAACCCGGTTCCCCAGATTACGGATCTACCGCTCTTAACCACTACACCACACTGGCCCTGGTGGCTTCTGGGGACATGGCCAGAGATGCCCCCCCCCAGGCCCTGGGGGCAACAGCAGGGCTCCCCCACCTTAGGACCCCCCCAAGTCCAGTTCAGTTGCTGCACAAGTCCAGGAAACTCCTGTCTCAACCAGCCTCCCTTTTTCAAGCATCTGCCGGCCACTTGCCCTCAGTGGACCTCGGAGATCTTGGGCGCCAAGGAGGATGAAGGCTGGTGTCTGTGGGGAGAGGCAGCAGAGGGCTCTGCCCAGGGGGGCCCGGGGGGGGCCTCCGTGGGGCCTGGTCAGAGAGGACCAGCTGGATGCTCAGGGGCCCAGAAGTCTCTGGGTGGCCCAGGGGAGGGGAGACTCTCCTGAGCCCCCCTGGCAGAAAAGGGGGAAGGAGGGCACTCTAAAATGATCCAGGGGAGGGGGCAGCTGCCCTGTGGGGAAAGGCTGGCGTTTGGGGGCCTTTTTAGTTTAGAGAAAAGGGGAGAGTAAAAGGCGAAACGACAGAGGTTTATAAACCAACGCCTGGCCTGGAGAAAGTGGAAGAGAGAAGCTTTCCTCCCTCTCTCCTAACACTAGAACTTCTGACATGTCAGGAAGAGATTCAGCACTGATTACAAAGTCCTTCTTCATGCAGCACGGAGTTAATCTGTGGAACTCCCTGCCACAGGAGGCAGAGATGGCCACCAACTTGGATGGCTCTGAAAGAAGATCGGACAATTTCGTGGAGGAAGAGGGGGCTGCCAATGGCTGCTGCCAGGAGGGCTCTGCTGTGGCTCCGCAGTCGGTTGGGGGCAAAGATCCTTCTGAGGAGGGGGGAAAGGGCCTCTTGGGCTCAGGTTCTGGGGGCTGGTTTCCCTTGGGAGAATTCTGGCCCATCCTGTGGCCAATGTGGGCATGCTGGCCACCTCAGAAGGGCCTCATCCTGTCTGGCACCCTCTTCCCTGCAGGGGCCAACTGGACACCTCTTCTGCAGCCCTCTCCCCACCCAGGTTCCCCAGGGAAGGAGACAGGTAGACTGCCTCTGCAGCTGGAGGCATTGCGTGGCCACAGAGACAAATGTGGCAAGTTACTTTAAACTCTTGTTTTTTATTATTATTATTAGTAGTAGTAGTAGTAGTAGTTATTTATATCTCGCCCACCTGGCTGGGTTTCCCCAGCCACTCTGGGTGGCTCCCAACAGAATATTAAGAATAATAAAGCAATAAAACACCAAACATTCAAAACTTCCCTAAAGAGGGCTGCCTTCAGATGGCTTCTAAAAGTCGGACAGTTGTTTATTTCCTTGACATCTGGTGGGAGGGCGTTCCACAGGGCGGGGGCCACTACCGAGGAGGCGCTTTGAGCTTGCAGCCCCTCCGGGGACCTTGCCGGGAAGGGTGGATCATAAATAAATACTCTCCCTGCACCAGCCTCTCCATGAAGCTCCAAGGGCTGCCCTTCACAGTCAATGAGAGACACACGGCAGAGAGCCAACTGTGAACATTCACAGACCTTCTTCTCCAGCTCTGGAGTCTAGTCTCTCGGTGCTTGAAAGCCATCCACTCCCAGCTCTGTTTCCTTCCATGGAGCTGGCATGGCTGGCTTCAGGGACTCTTCCCAGCCCAAGGAAGGCACATGGCAGAGAGCTAGCTCTTTCTTGCCCAATATAAGACTCGCTAGGATGCAGCTCTTCCCAGGTCTGCATTCTATGAGCAGCTGCAACAACAGGGGTGACTCTCCCTCCCTCTGTTTATGCTCCTCACAGCCAGAGACTGCGCCTGCACAGAAGCTCCCTCTGCCCTTCCCTCTTCAGTCCCCTCCTGGTTCTGGGAGACGGAGGTTCAGGAGAAGGTGGGGAAGCCCCTGGCCCTTTCCTGGCCTGCCTCATCCTCCTCTTCCTCCAGCTCTGAAGCATCCCTGCCTCCGACGCTTGCCTCCCGACTGGCCCAGTTCCCCACAAATCACTGCCCCCCTTTTTCAAGCCAGACTCCAGCCCCTCTTCCCCCGGCGTCCTGCCAATCGTAGACACCCCCTTTTTGGAGGCTCATTGAGGGAAGCTCTGGGTTTGAGTCATCCCAGACATTTCCCTTGTGGCTCCCATTGCGCCTTCATCTGTGCAATGGGTCTAAATGCCACATGAGATCTGTGGGGTGTGTTTTGCCCCTGAAAAATGGCTCTCGGACTGTGAGCTTCCAGGGAGTCTCCTGGGCTGTGTGCTCAGTCCTGGTCCTGCTGCTTGCGAGGAGATGATAAAGAGAGCAGCTGGGGCCTGATGTCTTCTAGAGAGAAGCAGCTATCTGGGGCCTCCTGCTCGGCCCAGGGTGCCACACCCCACGGCCAGCCTCTTCCCCCCTCCTGCTCCTCAGCCCCACCAAGCTGGGCCCCAGAGGAGGAGGAGGAGCTTTGGCCCAGGGTATAAAAGGCTCCAGCCCTGGAAGGAGCTCCAGCTCAGCCCAGAAGGTTTTCTCCAGCAGCCGAGAGAAGCTCACAGCCAGCCATCATGGTGCACTGGACCGCCGAAGAGAAGCAGCTCATCAGCAATTGCTGGAGCAAAGTGGACGTGGCCGCCATGGGTGGGGATACCCTTGCCTGGTAAGGCCAGGGGTGGTTGCCTCTCTGGGCAGGCTGGGCAGGCTCTCCTCTTTCCACCTGGAGAATGACCATCCATGCCTCTCCCGGTGTGGTGTAGTGGTTAAGAGTGGTGGACTCGTAATCTGGTGAACCGGGTTCGCGTCTCCGCTCCTCCACATGCAGCTGCTGGGTGACCTTGGGCCAGTCACACTTCTCTGAAGTCTCTCAGCCCCACTCACCTCACAGAGTGTTTGTTGTGGGGGAGGAAGGGAAAGGAGAACGTTAGCCACTGTGAGACTCCTTCGGGTAGTGATAAAGCGGGATATCAAATCCAAACTCTTTCTCCTCCTCCTCTTCTTCTTCTTTCTCCTTCCTTCCTCTCTCCAGCTTGCTGATCGTCTTCCCCTGGACCCAGAGATTATTCCTGCACTTTGGGGACCTCTCCAGCCCTGCCGCCATCTGTGCCAACCCCAAAGTCCGGCAGCACGGCCACAAGGTCCTGGCCTCCTTCGAAGAGGCCATCAAGAACCTGGACAAGATCAAGGAGACCTTTGCCAAGCTGAGTGAGCTGCACTGCGACAAGCTCCACGTGGACCCCGTCAACTTCGGGGTGAGCCTGCCTGCCCCCAAGGGCTGCCTGGGGGAGGGCGGGGGGATGGGTGCCTGAGGTCCCCTCTGCAGGGTCACAATCCCCTGAGGGAATCTCACCCTCTGCTTAACAACCTCCAGTGAAGGAGAGTCTTCCAAGGGAGTCCGTAAAAGCTCCTAATCTTCAGAAAGTTCCTCTTAATATCTAATGGGAATCTCCTTTCTTGTTGTTTAAATCCATTGGTTCGGATCCTGCCCTCTTGCGCACCAGAAAACAAGTCCCAGCCTTCTCTTGTCTCATGTGTTTAACTTGTTTTGAACTTTGTGTGATTTTACCGTATTATTTTTATGTGATGCGTTTTTTATGGAGCAGCGACATAAATCAATGAATTTTAACTAAACCCACATACCCAAGTAGGGGAGAGTTCCTGGCTATCTTTCACAATCCTCGTGGCATCATCTCCTGGCGAGTCAGCGTGGGCTCCCCTCATCCGTGGGCACCTTCAGCCACGCCCTGAGCAAGCCAACCCCTTTACCGTGGAAAGAAGGGCAACTCGATGGACTCTCTTGCCTTCTGGCCCTTCAAATGGAGCCTGTGGGCCTTTGCCCTTCCTCCTTCTGACTTGTCCCTGGTCAAGCAAGGATCTGTCCGGCTAGCAGAGGCCGAGCCCAGGAGGTGCCTGGCAGGGGCCAGTTTGCTTCTTGGCTCCAAACCTCTCCTGGCATGGCAATGCCAGCCTGGGACGGTGTGGGGTTCTGTCTGTTGCCTCCTGGACCAGCCTCCTTCCAGGGGACCCCAAACCCCTTCATCCATCCCAGCTGGCCTTTGGGCTTGACCCCACAGCCGCCAGCTGTGGCTGTGTGGGGTGGGGGTTGTGGGGAGAGGGCGTTCTGCACACGGGCCCCCTGGCGGAAGGAGTCACCCCCTCTTTTCTCTTCCAGCTCCTGGGCGAGGTCCTCATCACCTTGCTGGCCGGGCGCTTTGGGAAGGAATTCACCCCTGCTTACCACCATGCCTTCCACAAGCTGGTCAAGGTGGTGGCTCATGCGCTGGCCCTCCGGTACCACTGAGACACCCCCAGGGAGAAGCGGCCGCCTCCTGCTGGTCTTGCCACCCACCAGGTTTGGTGGGGGCCACCCCTTCCTGCCCCCATGTGACGCTTGACCCTCTAATAAATCCTCCCTCTGCAATCTGACCTGGTTTCCTGTGTCTCTTTCTCTGGGATGGGGGGGGACAGGCCTGGGGGGAAGACCCCTCCTGTTAGCTGGCTGGCAGGGGGCTAGGAAAGTGGGGGGGGGGGCTTCTCTGTCCTCTGTCACTCAAGAGGAACCATTGAGCACCAGTGGGGGGGGTTTCAGGGCAATCTTCCCTCTTCTTATTCCTTTTGTTTAAGCATTTTTAGTAATTTCCAATGATTCAAGTTCCAACCTTAACAACCTTGCCGCTGGTTCTGTTTTGCAGTTTATGATCTCATCTTTTCTAGCACGCACCTGTACTTTAGTCCAATTAAGCTCTAATTAACAAGAGAACCTCTGCTTCTTATTGGTGGCACAGGAGGTTTTTTGGCAGGCAAAGTGCTTTTGCACTTAGCGCCTCCCTGCCGCCCACAATCCATGCCAGAACGAGAGCCAGGTATTGAGACGAACTGCAAGGGAAGCCCTTTCCCTCCTGTCTCTGGGTGAAAATTGCAAGGATAATTACCCCCCAATAATCCTTGTTTTGCTCTTCCCTCTTCAGTCCGGTCCTGGTTCTGGGAGATGGAGGTTCAGGAGAAGGTGGGGAAGCCCCTGGCCCTTCCCTGGCCTGCCTCATCCTCCTCTTCCTCCAGCTCTGAAGCGTCCCCTGCTTCTGACTCTTGCCTCCCGACTGGCCCAGTTCCCCACAAATCACTGCCCCCCTCTTTCAAGCCAGACTCCAGCCCCTCTTCCCCCGGCGTCCTGCCAATCGTAGACACCCCCTTTTTGGAGGCTCATTGAGGGAAGCTCTGGGTTTGAGTCATCCAGGACATTTCCCTTGTGGCTCCCATTGCTCCTTCATCTGTGCAATGGGTCTAAATGCCACATGAGATCTGTGGGGTGTGTTTTGCCCCTGAAAAATGGCTCTCGGAGTGTGAGCTTCCAGGGAGTCTCCTGGGCTGTGTGCTCAGTCCTGGTCCTGCTGCTTGCGAGGAGATGATAAAGAGAGCAGCTGGGGCCTGATGTCTTCTAGAGAGAAGCAGCTATCTGGGGCCTCCTGCTTGGCCCAGGGCGCCACACCCCACGGCCAGCCTCTTCCCCCCTCCTGCTCCTCAGCCCCACCAAGCTGGGTCCCAGAGGAGGAGGAGGAGCTTTGGCCCAGGGTATAAAAGGCTCCAGCCCTGGAAGGAGCTCCAGTTCAGCCCAGCTCAGTTGTGGTGGTGAAGCGGTGTGTGGTGGGTCAGGCATGGAAGGCGGAGAAGGAGGGCTGAGAGCGGCGGTGGCTGTGAGGCTCGGTCAGCGCGTTGCCTCCCTTCCCATCGGACAGCCCCACTCCCATTCCTACTTGCATGCAAACAGGAAGGGGCGGGGATCCGTCAGCTGGGAAGGGAGGCTTCCCGTTGCCTAACTGAGAGATCCCTGCCCCCTCCTGCTTGCACACAAGCTCAGATAGGCAGCGTGAAGCCTCCCTTCCCAGTCGAGAGATCCCCGCCCTGCTCCTGCTTGCACGCAAGTAGGAGTTGGGAGGCTGCTCTGATAGGCAGCATGAAGCCCCCCTTCACAGCTTAGTTGCTGGCATCCGGGAAGGTGGAGGCAGCCCGGAAGCTGCGTCTTGGAGCCCCTGCGACACCATCATATGGGGACTTCCAAGCAGCTCTTGAAGCCAGCCAGAGCCAACTGCTCTGGGCTGCTGAGACTGCCGCTGCTGCGTTTCCCAGGGACATTAGATGAAATCCGGGGACATTCCAGGAATGGAATTTGTCCGGGGACTTATTTGCAAACCCGGGGACTGTCCCCGGGAAACAGGGACGTCTCGTAACCCTGTTCCAGCCCACAGGCATCCATCATGGTGCACTGGACGGCCGAAGAGAAGCAGCTCATCAACACTGCCTGGAGGAAAGTGGACGTGAAGGAGTGAAGCAGTCGGGAAAACAGAGGGGGCATTTGGGGGTGGGAGAGAAGGCAGCTTTTAAATCTGTATTGAATTTGTATTCATTTGGTGACAACTTGTTAAAAATTATGGGAGATCGATGAAAATAATTGGCAAAATAAAATCTAAGGGATGCATTCAAAGCAACATAATTTAGAGGGAACTAAAATATTGCTAAGGGACGCAGGTGGCGCCGTGGGTTAAACCACAGAGCCTAGGACTTGCAGATCAGAAAGTTGGCGGTTCGAATCCCCGCGATGGGGTGAGCTCCTGTTGCTCGGTCCCTGCTCCTGCCCACCTAGCAGTTCACACTAGTGCAAGTAGATAAATAGGTACCGCTCCGGCGGGAAGTTAAACAGCGTTTCCGTGCGCTGCTCTGGTTCGCCAGAAGCGGCTTCGTCATGCTGGCCACATGACCCGGAAGCTGTACGCTGACTCCCTCGGCCAATAAAGCGAGATGAGCGCCGCAACCCCAGAGTCGGCCACGACTGGACCTAATGGTCAGGGGTCCATTTACCTTAAAATATTGCTAACCGCCACCCCAATCTCCAAAATGTGCAGGACGCCATGAGTTTCAGGCGCTTACCAAGAATTCATATTCCTTGGAATGAAGGTCAGAGGAGACTGGGGTCCCTTTTAAAAATCTGCTTTTATTTCCATATATATACAAGCTGAGCATAGGCTGGAGGAGCTCATAGCACTGCACCCCACAAGGTCTTGGTCCCCCCCCCCCAGTCCCAGGCTTGGAAGCAGCCGCTCTCCCTGTGGCTTTTGTCCTTCTGACTGCCAGCCAGGTGTCCTCGGGCGCAGAGCAAGCGCCTTCCTTGCGCCCTCAGGCCATTCGCTGGCCCAGAAAGCTGCCTGCCTCCTTCAGCAAAGGATTACCGTAATTTTTTTTTTACACACTTTCGTCCAATTTTATTCCACCTCCATAAACTTGGGGTTTTTGCAGAAATTCAAGCCTCCCTGGTTTGGCTTACAAACCATGGACAGAAGATTCCTTTGATAAATAATGGCTGAACTTGTAATAAACTAATCATACCCACACAGGAAGCATGGGAATTAGAAGGGACTCTCTCCAGCATCACACAGGCTAAGCCACCCACCCGAAACTCAAAACAATATTTTAGAATAAGACATTGCAAAGGAATGTCAAGTATACAGAGGACATTTAGCAAAACAATGAACTTAAACAATTATCTTTAACGAAACATTCCTAAGGGAGGTCAATAAAACACAGCAGAGCAGAAACGGCTTGGAGTCATGCATCGCTTGGAGACTGGGGTGGCACGTAGCAATATTTTAGTTCGCTTTTAATTACATTGCTTTGAATACCTACTTTAGGTTTTATTTTGCCTTGAACATGGCTGTTTGACCTCTGGCCCCATTATCCAACAACTCAGCCTCACTAGTGCGGACTGTTAGAATTCCTGCTCCACGGTTGCAGTCATGGGATTTTTGTCTATCACATGACGGTGTATGTTTTGACTCCACAGAGTGGGAAGTGACGGAGACAGGATGTTTGTGTTACTCTGTTCTGTGAAGTGGGACTATTGTTCTTTTTCTCTTTGCTGTCTGATGCTAGAGAGAGAGGGAGTCATGGTGCAGTGCTCCCTGTCTGTTTATATGTAAATAAAGTAGATTAGCCAAAATGCTGAGTTGCTGAGCTCTGTTACACAAGCTGTGAAGACTCTGGGAATCCCGAAGTGTGCCGGTGTCTGTTGGCATCGGTCGCTGTGATGTTTGGGCTGAAGAAAGCTAATGAAGCTCCCGAACGATCAACCAGGAGGGAGGGAACATGCCAGTCGGGCATGTGTCTCTGCCAGGGTCCTACTCGGGTGTAGAACGAGCTCCTGACAGAAGATGAAACACCTAGGGGTTTTTTTTTGTATAAATATATAATATACACTCCCCCCTAACACTGCCAATCTTCTAGCGCCACCCACCCTTCACATTTCACCAAATTTAATCCTCAATTTTACACACAACCAGCTCATTAAGAAATATGCGCAATCCTTTTCTCTTCTTTTCTGTCTGAAAGTCTCAGAAGCCGTCAAGATGCTACACAATGTGGTCCCTCCTGTCCCTTTCGCTGCTCTTATTTCCACCTTTAGGCTGATGAAGTGAACATGCGTGAGGGCCGACCACAGTTGTTGACGTTTTCTTAGGTTTGAAGTTTGCTTGTTTTGGAATTTTACCAGAGAAAATAAACTGCTGCAGGGGCCTGTCGCTTCCGACTCTCCCTCTGCTTTTCTCTCCCCATGCTGTGAAACCTGAATGTAAGCTCCCTGGGGCAGAGTCCTGTCCTACACTCCAAGGCCCCTCAATTGTTAAACCAATAATAATAATAATAATAATAATAATAATAATCTGAAAGGATACTTAATTATCCTTAAGTGCCTCAATTATCCTCAATAGCCAAGCGATTGAAACTCTGTTTGCAATGCTTTCTTAGGCCCTGCTTCCTCCCAGACAACATTCACACCTTCCTCCCTTACCTGGCCTTGAACACGGCTGTCCGACCTCCGGCCCCCATAACCAGCAACTCAGCCTCACTAGCGCGGACTGCAGAGGGTGAACATGAAACCCCCAGGGGTGTTTTGTATAAATATATAATATGGATCCCCTCCTGTAACACTGCCAATCTTCTAGTGCCACCCACCCTTCACATTCCTCCAAATTTAATCCTCAATTTTACATACAGCCAGCTCATTAAGAAATATGCAGAATCCATTTCTCTTCTTTTGCGTCTCAAAAGCCGTCAAGATGCTGCACAATGTGGTCCCTCCTGTCCCTATCGCTGTTCTTGTTTCCACCTTCAGGCTCCAAGGAGGTGGGCTGATGTACTCTCCACAAAATCCTGGTCTCCTCTCCTTCCTCCCCCCTGAACTCATAAATCTTCCTGCTTAGCAGACAGTCGATCCAGTTGTCACCCCTCTTTTCTTCTTTACTGCTTTTATTTCTCAGGAGGAAGTCCCAAGGGGGGGGGTCAAAATCCCTCAAAGTACCTCAAGGTTGTTGCTCTCCATCTTCTTTCAGGCAAAGTCCTGACTTCTAAAACTAATCCATCGCAAAGAGGCAAATTTAAAGTCCGCTCCTCCCGAAATCTTTGCATTCCTTGCTTCAGGGGAAGGGACATGACGCAGATCCCGAAAAAGGCCCGTAACTTAAAAGATTCCCTCCCCTCCTTGCCCCGTTCAAGCAAAGCAGAAATCAGCGTCTTTCCAAAGAGATGCTTTTCTCCTGCATCAGAAGTCAGGATCTCTTCCACGGGGGCGTGTGCCTCTTCGCTTGCCAATTGTGTCCCCATTCAAAGCTGTTCCCCGCCCTCCCCACGGGAGTTGGCCAGGGCTGTTCGGGGACAGTTTGAAATCCTTTGCTGAAGGAGGCAGGCAGCTTTCTGGGCCAGCGAATGGCCTGAGGGCGCAAGGAAGGCGCTTGCTCTGCGCCCGAGGACACCTGGCTGGCAGTCAGAAGGACAAAAGCCACAGGGGGAGCGGCTGCTTCCAAGCCTGGGACTGGGGGAGAACCTCGCCTCTGCTTCGTCTGGGAGATTTCCATCCCAGCTCACAACCCCCCCCCCCCAAAATAAATTACCGGGCGAGCGCGGGTCGTGCCCTTTCGATACCCTCGGAAGGTTAGGGGAGACCTGCCCCTTTCGCCCCATAGACCTCCCCCTGGGGCCCCCAAAGGGCGACTTGCTGGGTTCGCTGCCCCTCTGGCGTTTTATTTTGGATCGCTTTGTTTTATGTTTCAATGAAGGCGGTAAATTCTTTTGATGTTGTTATGGGTGTGAAATATGTAGGCGGGGTGTTTATTGGGTTGTATTTGTTTTTATTTGATTATGTGTTTTGTGTTTTTATATCGCAATTCCATCCTGTGAACCTCCAAATTTAATAAACAAATAAATGGATAAAACGAAATGAATTCCCCCCTCTCTCTGCCGATCAAGAGGCAGCTCCGTCCCCGACACCCATCTGGAAAGACGCAGGGAGGGGCATTGCGGGGGGGGGGAGTGGCCCTTGGGGGTCTCTCTGGGTGGCCCCTGTTGGTACCCCCACCCCTTATTCAGAGGGATGGAATCCAGAGCAGGGGAAGGGTCCGCATCCCCCTCTGAGTCTCTCACCCCCCATTTCTCCACAGTAGGAAGAACAGAGAGGGCAACTGGGCAGAACTGGGTGGGGAGATGACCGGGGGGGGGGGCGATTGGGGCATGGGGGGGTCAGTCTGGCAGGAGCTTTGAGGATGAAGGATTTGGGGAAACAGCGGGGGTCCCTGGCTCCGAAAAGCACTCCAGCTTCAGGGAGGGGGGCAAAGTGCCACAGAGTCCTGAACCCCCCCCCCAGTGGTGCTCAATGGTTCCTCTTGAGTGACAGAGAAGCCCCCCCTTTCCCAGCCCCCCAACTAACAGGAGGTGTTTCTACACCCCACGCCCAGGCCAGTCCCCTCCCTCCATCCCAGAGAAGGAGACACAGGAAACCAGGTCAGATGCAGAGGGAGGATTTATTAGAGGGTCAAGCGTCACATGGGGCCTGGAAGGGGAGACCAGCAGGAGGCGGCCGCTTCTTCCTGGGGGTGTCTCAGTGGGACCGGCAGGCCAGCGCATGAGCCACCACCCTGACGAGTTTGTGGAAGGCATGGTGGCAAGCAGGGGTGAATTCCTGTCCAAGGGGGGGCTAGCAGGAGGGTGATGAGGACCTCGCCCAGGAGCTGGAAGAGAAAAGAGAGGGTGACTCCTTCTGCCAGGGGGCCCATGCGTGGGACACCCTCTCCCCACAACAGATCCCACAACAGATTCAACAGATTGAGACTGAATCCTGACAAGACAGAAGCACTGTTTAGGGTGGACTGGGGGCAAGCGGCTGTCTGGGGGACTCCCTGGTCCTGAATGGGGTAACTGTGCCCATGAAGGACCAGGTGCGCAGCCTGGGAGTCATTTTGGACTCACAGCGGTCCATGGAGGCACAGGTCATTTCTGTGTCCAGGGCAGCTCCATCTGGTCCACAGGATGAGACCCTACCTGCCCGCAGACTGTCTCACCAGAGTGGTGCATGCTCTAGTTATCTCCCGCTTGGACTACTGCAATGCCCCCCATATGGTTCCCTCACTGTGAGAGGTAAGGTTACAGGGAACCAGGCAGAGGGCCTTCTCGGTTGTGGCGCCCGCCCTGTGGAATGCCCTCCCACCAGATGTCAAGGAAATAAACAACTAACTGAAATCTGAAGGCAATCCTGTAGCAGGAAATTTTTAATGTCTAATGTTTTATGTCCTGTGAGCCACCCAGAGTGACACACACACACACGGCACCCCCAGTCCCCCCTGCCAGGCAGCCCCTTGGGGTGGGGGAGCAGCCTCACCCTCAAGTTGACGGGGTCCATGTGGAGATTGTCGCACAGCAGTTCAGGCAGCTCGGAAAAAGCCTCCTTGACCTCGTGCAAGGAGGGCTGGAGAGGTTCCTAATGAGAGGGAGGGCTGGAAAGGGTTCTCTATGCGACCGAAGAGCATCTGGCACCAGGGGTAGACCACCAGCAGGCTGCAGAGAAGGAACAAAGGAAGGAAGGAAGGAAAAAGGGAGAGCCATGGATGGTTATTATCCAGGTGGAAAGAGGAGCACCTGCCCAACCTGCCTAGAGAGGCAACCACCCCTGGACTTACCTGGCAAGGGCTTCTGGACTAATGACGGCCACATCCATTCCCATCAAAATAGTGGTGGTGATCTGCATCTCGGCCATGATGGCTGGCTGTGGGCTGGGAGCTTCTCTCGGCTGCTGGAGAAAACCTTCTGGGCTGAGCTGGAGCTTCTTCCAGGGCTGGAGCCTTTTATACCCTGCGCCAACGCTCCTCCTCCCAGATTTACAGAAGCCGACCTGGTTTCTGATTTGATCTAAGAATGTCCTGCTTTTCCTTAAGACATGCCTATTTTCCCCTGAGAAATCCTGGAGGGTATGGAGTAATGCCACGCCTGTACCAAGGAGACAAGCAAGTATAAAGGCTTTAGAAGACATCTGAAGGCAGCCCCAAAGGACCGTCTCCACCCCCATCGCTCAGCCCAGACACTGAGGTCCTCCTCCTCCGGTGATTCAGCTACAGGGTACCAGGCAAAGGGCCTTCTTGGCAGTGGCTCCCTCCCTGTGGAAAGACATCAGATGTCAACCTGGGTGGCCTGAAAGACGGACTAGACAGATTCATGGAGGAAAAGCTCTAATAATAATAATAATAAATTTTATTTATATCCCGCCCTCCCCAGCCGAAGCCGGGCTCAGGGCGGCTAACAACAATAAAACAGTACAAAAGTACAGCACAAACAACACTCTAAAATCATTCATTATAAAATTAATTAATTCAAGCCACTGGCAGCCATTGGGCCAGAGCTCCGCGAAGATTGCCGAGGGAGGGAGTCAGGCTGTGGCCTGGCCAAAGGCCTGGTGGAACAGCTCTGTCTTGCAGGCCCTGCGGAAAGATGTCAAGTCCCACAGGGCCCTGGTCTCTTGTGACAGAGTGTTCCACCAGATCGGAGCCACGGCTGAAAAAGCCCTAATGGCTCCTAGTCTGGCTGGCTCTGCTCTCCCTCCACCATCAGAGGCAGCGATGCTTCTGAATCCCACTTGCAGGAAACGGCGTCAAGGGAGAGGCTCTGGGGCTCCAATCCTGCTTGCCCATTGGGGTCCATAGTTGGCCATTGGGAGAAGAGGATTCTGGACTCAATGGTCCCCTTTGGCCTGACCAAGAAGGCTCTGACTTTTGTCATTCCCAATCTTAAGGAACTCTGGGAAATGGAGTTCTGTGAGGGACCACTAGGAATTTCCAAGAGAACTTTCAGCAGACATTCTAGACCTTCAAGTCCCCAGAATTCTGCAATTGTTTGTTAAATTTTCTCAAGCCTATAAAACTTGATTGTGTGTATTTGCCTTGACTGATTCAGGTGACCTTTCAAGGGGCGCAGAATCATCTTTCTCCTGAGAAATGTCTGCCTGTGGCCTCAACTTTTCTGGTTGTATGACTTTGGGTCACTTTAGAAGTCTCCAATTCTTTCGTCATTCCTGCTCCCTTTTGTACACCTCATCTGCTTCAAAGCCCATATTTCGAATGAAGCTCTTGCTCAGGGATGGGGAACCTGAGGTCTTCCGGATGTGGTCTGACTCTGCTTCCCATTGGCAGGCAGTGGGCTCCCAATCCCTGCCCTTGTTGAACCTCCCTGTCTTCCTACCCCTGCCGCTTCCAACTCTCCCTCTGCTGTTCTCTCCCCACGCTGTCAAACCTGAATGTGAGCTCCCTGGGGCAGAGTCCTGTCCTACATTCCAAGGGCCCTCAATTGATACATGGTGAAGTAATAATCATCATCTGTAAGTGCACTTAATTATCCTCAATGGGCTCAATTATCCTCAAGCGATTGCAACTCTGTTTGCAATGCTTTCTTGGGCCCTGGTACAGATCAGGGCATGTGGCCAGGATTGCCCAGGGCCACCCCTGTCATTGGGAGTGAGGTGGCTGCTTCAGGGGCAGATGCTGGGCTGGAGGACACAGTGGTGAGGCATCGTAGGACAAACACAGCCTGCCACCCCCAAGCTGGCTTGCTGCCTTCAGGTGCAGGAGAGAACATTGTTCCATCTCCAGCACTGAAGAAAGAGATTGAGCTTCCAGCTGAATCACGGGAGCTGCAGTTTGTTAAGTACTGTGGCTCTTTGAGGGGGTAAACTACACTTCCCAGAAGTCTTTGGGGGAAATCATGTGCTTTCACTATACGTTGAGTATAGAGCCTGAGAAGATTTGGGTTTCCCCATCCTTGCTGAGGGTGGGGACAAAACCCACCACCCTCATGCCTTGGCTGACCACCATCAGTGACAGAGCACTGGGCTAAATGGAGCTTGATCCAATCGGACAGGGCAGTTTCAAATTTCCCAGGAACTCGCCCTAAAGCCCTGCCAGAGGTATCTATTTCTCTGTGATGGGAGTTCCCTGTGAGTAAGACCCATCAAATTCAAGAAGACACCCATCTAGCTAGACACGCCGAGAACTGCGCTGTTACTTGTTGCCCTTAAATCCCATTTTTATTGGCCATGATTAACATGATTAACTTGATGGAAATCCCTGTCTCCCAGACAAAGCAGAGGCGAGGTTCTCCCCCAGTCCCAGGCTTGGAAGCAGCCGCTCCCCCTGTGGCTTTTGTCCTTCTGACTGCCAGCCAGGTGTCCTCGGGCGCAGAGCAAGCGCCTTCCTTGCACCCTCAGGCCATTCGCTGGCCCAGAAAGGTGCCTGGCTCCTTCAGCAAAGGATTTCAACCCTCGCTGGGTCCAGGAATGAGAAGGGACTCGCTCCAGCATCATACAGGCTAAGCCACCCACCTGAAACTCAAAACAATATTGCAGAATAAGATATTACATTCACAGCAGCAGAAGACGACCTTTCCGTGGACCTTGGGCACAGTGGATACCAGGCTCCTTTAAGCCAGCCCATGGCACACTGTCAAATGCCACATGGGGGGAAAGCGGGACCCCATCTTCTGGGGCCGCACTCCTGCGTGAATCACATGATCCACACAAGGTCCCTGGTCCCCCCAATGTGCTTTTTTGAGGGGAGATCGCATTCCGACATCGCCTGAGAGCAGGGGGCCCCAAATGACTGTCATGCTCACACAGGGAAAAATGAGATGTCCCGTTTGTTCTGGCACAGTTGAGGGGATATGGTCTGAGCCACTGAGTGCCAGTGACTGGGGGAGGGGGAGAGCAAAGCACGGGAGGGGGAGGGGGGCTGGGGGGCTTCCGTTGGACATCTGGTTGGCCAGTGGGAGGAACGGGAGCCCAGCTCTCCACATTTGTTTATTTCCTTCATTCATATGTATTTATAAAAACATTTCATATTCATTTATAAAAATATTTGTACACCACTGTGTCATACAAAACTATATCCAAAAGATTTACATCAGTAAAGACATAATACCTGTTTAACCTTTGAAAAAGTGAACAGACATCGATTAACCATTTGCAAAAGGATGCGTTCTTAATTGCCTGCACTGTCCGGGAGGAATAGAAATGTTTTCAGCAGGCAACTAAAGCTTTGCAAAGAAGGTGCCCCCTGAATCTCCAGTGGCAGAGAGTTCCACTGGCCTGAGGACATGAAAGGTTCAGTTTCTCTCTGTTGTCAAACGAGTCTCGCCAACAACCAGCGATGCTCCTGCAGACTGAGTTATGCTCCTTTAATTCCAATGCTCACTTGGCGAAAGTTTATTTTTGCTGTGTCAGAATCGCTGCTGCTTGGGTGATCTGCAGCAGAGTCATTTTCACCTCCTCCTGAGCAACAGGTCGGCCTCTTGCAGCCGGAGCTATCAGGGGGAGCCAGGCCTGACTCAGCAGGAGGCTGGGCAGATCTGCAAGGTCATCCCTGCATATGGAGCTCATGCAGCAAGCCGGGGGGGGGGGGGGAGAGCCCATGGGTGGTGAAGAGAAGGGGCTGCAGGATCAGGACCCTGAATCAGGGACCGTGCACCACAGCCTTCCAGAAAGGGATGCCTGAGCAGCTCCTGTTCCAGCCCTGTGAAGAAAGCAAGGGGAGCTCTGAGTGGAGAGGAGAGGCAGCTACAAGGCGCCTTGATAGGACTGCATCATCATCATCCAAATTGGGAGGCCACCCTATACCCGCAGGTCTCAGGCGGTTTACAGGATAAAAGCACAACGTAAAAACACGAAACGCACATTGAAAACAGAAGCAGCCCAATATGTGCCATGGACTTGGGGAGTGTTGAAGGAGAGGCAGCTGTCGTCGGGTGCAGGATAAAGGGGCAAGGAGACTTGCGCTCGAACCCCGCCAAAAAGCTCGCCTCTTTTTTGGCCTGGCCCACCTCCCAGGGTCTTTGTGGGGATTAATTGGGACAAGAAGACCCATATCCCAAACTCCTTCGCAGATTACTAGGACACAACGAGGATTGATAAACGAGAGACTACTCCTAGTTCTAAGCATGACATTCAAGGCAGGCCTTCCAAGCGCCCCTCTTTCCCAGTTTCTGATTTGATCCCGGAATGTCCCACTTTCCCTTAGGATATCCCTGTTTTCACCAGGGAAATGGTGGAGGGTATGGAGTTATGCAACCCCCGAGCCAAGGAAATAAGTAACTATACGACCTTTAGAAGACATCTGAAGGCAGCCCTGGAAAGGGAAGTTTTTGAATGTTTTATTGTGTTTTTGTATATGTTGGAAGCCGCTAAGAGTGGCTGCGGCAACCCAGTCAGATCTGTAGGGCATGATTTATATTCTCTTATGGAATAGGATGTCCCTATCTTCACCAGATGGAGAGGTATGTCAGGGCAGCCGGCACTTTGATGCAACAGCCACGTGGCATCCATTAAGAGGGACCGCTGCCCAATCGACTGTTTCAGCCCACTCCCCAGCCTGGTGCCAACGCCATGCAGCCCACAGTGTTTGCGCAACACACAAGTTACGACAGCTGTCCTTGGACTGAGTCCCACGTGCCGAGTTACTAGCAGAGCAGGTTGGGTTTGCAAGAGCCAAGAGATCCAGAAACTTAATCGTAGACCTGTAAGGACTCCAGGGGTCATCTAGTCCAGCCCCCTGCAACGCAGGAATCTCAGCTGAAGCATCCCTGGCAGTTGGCTATCCAAACTCTGTTTAAAAACCTCCAAGGAAGGAGAGTCCACCTCCGCTTGTGGGAGTCTGTTGCACTGCTGAACTGTTCTTACTGTCAGAGAGTGTTTCCAAATGATCAGCCGGAATCTCCTTTCTTGCATCTTGAAGCCTTTGGTTCGAGTCCTGCCCTCCAGAGCAGGAGAAAACAAGCACGCTCCCTCCTCCATGGGACAACCCTTGAGATATTTGAAGATGGCTCTCATATCTCCTCTCCGTCTCCTCTTCTCCAGGCTTAACATACCCAGCTCCTTCAACCGCTCCTCATACGGCTTGCCTTCCAGACCCTTGATCACCCTGGTCTCCCTCCTCTGCACACCTTCCAGCTTGTCCACATCCTTCTTAAACTGTGGTGGCCAGAAGTGGACACAGTGTTCCAGGTGTGGTCAGACCAAGGCAGAAGAGAGCAGGACTGTGACTTCCCTGGATCTGGACACTAGACTTCTGTGGAAGCAGACTAGAATAGCATTCCCTTTTTGCTGCTGCATCACACTGTGGACTCATGTTGAGCTTGTGGTCCACCAAGACCCCTAGATCCTTTTCACATGTACTGCTAGTAAGCCAGGTCTCCCCCACATTACACTGATTTTTATTTCTCCATTCCAATTATGCATAAAATAGTCTTTTCAAGTCTTTTCTGCTTTTTCATATATTTCTTGATCATCTAATAAATTATCATTCAGTCTCCAACGAAAAGTCTATTCCTATAATTTCACACAAAATTGGATTATGATCTGAAAGAGTTTTTGAATGTCTGTTAAGGTCATTTTGAATCCCGATTGTGTTTTCTGCGGCATTAGCTACCATTCCCAGTTTGGTGTCATCTGGAAATTGGATGAGCATCCCTCAATTCCTTCATCCAGGTCCTTTATAAAGACGTCAAACAACAACAGACCCAGGACAGCACACTGCGCACACGACTTATCACTTCTCCCCAGGTTGATGAGGAACCATTAAGGAGTCCTCTTTGGGTTTGGTCTGTCAACCATCTACCAATCCACCAAATAGTTACCTTGTTCAACCTCCATTTCAACAGCTTCCTCGCTAGAATATCATGGGGGATTTTGTCAAAAGCCTCACTGAATTCAAGATACACTATGTCCACAGCATTCCCCTGATCCACCAAGTTTGTACCTCTGTCTAGAAAAGAGAAAAAATCAATCAGATTGGTCTGGCTGACTTATTTTGGGAAACCTATGCTGGGTCTCAGTAATCGCAGCATCTTTTCCTAAACGCTCATAGACCGACTGTTGATTTATCTAACAGGCTGAGCAAAAGAGCAACTGCTCTGGCTTACCTTCCGCTTCAGTTGGGGAACTGAAGCCCAGATCCTCAGTTATGGACGGCCCAGAGAGCCCTCTTGGCTCTGCAGATCAGCTCATCCAGCTGACGGGACAAACGACCTTCCAGCCATCTTCAGCAGCCAGGATCACATACCCTCCAGCATTTCTCTGATGATAAGAGGGCCGTCCATCAGGCTAGCAATTCCCTCTGCCAAAAGAGGAAGACAGCTGATTGACGGGCAGCTTTCAGGCCCTGATCATGCACAAGACCTTTGGTGCTGTTTTCTCACAGGAAAGTGTTTCTGGTTTGGTTTTGTTCAGAACTTTCCCCAGCCCTGCATCTGGCAACTGGTCAGTCAAAAAACCAGGCAGCAACAGGACATAGAAACCCAACTCAAGTGCCTTTCATATCAACGTTGAGGGTCTTTTATGCTTTGCAATGCACCAGTTACTCCACTAATGTTTTGATTTGCTTTTGCTAAGGAATTATGGTGCATCAACACCAGAAACTTAAATCACCTGCAAATCACTCCTGCTCCTTGCACTAAATAACTTTGGGTGCCGTAGGTTTCTTGAGTTTATATTTCTGTTAAGAGACCGCTGACACTTTTACACGACTACACGCCCCAAGGTTGGTAGCAAGGATGAATCTTCAGTGGGAGATCTGCTCAGTTGTCCGCTGGGTGCCGTCTCGGGGACAGCCTGTCCTTTGGGTTGTTGGGAATGAATTCAGCCACGGTCTGGGGGGGGGGGCATGTGTTCCTTCCCCATGAGCTCAAGCGTGTGCTGGGTGAATCCTCCGCAAAGGACACCCCTTCCATCGCTGCTTTCTCTAGCAGCACTTGTCATGGCGGACTAGCATGGCCTTTCTTAATGGCGCTGCAACTTGCAAAGCTCATCAGGAGCATAACGGGGCAATGGATTAGGCACCTCTGATAAGCCCAGAAATGCTGCCTGATGGTTAGCAATGAATAATCTAGCACAGACCTTCAAAGGAAGTCCCTATTATTCCCATTTGACAGATAAGAACATACAGTGGAATCCAAACTAAGTTTGTTGAGCTTAGAACTCATCAAGATCAAGTTAATCATGGCCAATACAAATGGGATTTAAGGGCAACAAGTAACAGCGCAGTTGTCGGCGTGTCTAGCTAGAGGGGTGTCTTCTTGAATTTGATGGGTCTTACTCACAGGTACTGGGATACGGGTGGCGCTGTGGGTCAAACCACAGAGCCTAGGACTTGCGGATCAGGAGGTCGGCGGTTCAAATCCCCGCGACGGGGTGAACTGCCATTGCTCGGTCCCTGCTCCTGCCAACCCAGCAGTTCAAAATCATGTCAAAGTGCAAGTAGATAAATAGGTACCGCTCCGGTGGGAAGGTAAACAGTGTTTCCGTGCGCAGCTCTGGTTCACCAGAAGCGGCTTAGTCATGCTGGCCACATGACCCGGAAGCTATATGCCGGCTCTCAGCCAATAAAGGAAGATGAGCGCCACAACCCCAGAGTCTGCCATGACTAGACCTAATGGTCAGGGGTCCCTTTACCTTTACATTTTTACTCACAGGTAACTCCCATCACAGAGGAATAGATACCTCTGGCAGGGCTTTAGGGCGCGTTCCTGGGAAATTTGAAAATGCCCTGTCAGATTGGACCAAGATCCATTTAGCCCAGTGCTCTGTCACTGATGGTGGTCAGCCAGGGCATGAGGGTGATGGGTGTTGTCCCCACCCGCAGCCACGATGGGAGGATAATTAAGGATAATTATCTTAATTATCCATAATTAATTAACGCTTAATTAATTAACGCTTAATTAAAGCTTGAGGATAATTAAGCCCATTGAGGATAATTAAGTGCACTTACAGATGATGATGATGATTATTATTATTACTTCACCATTTATCAATTGAGGGCCCTTGGAATGTCGGACAGGATTCTGCCCCAGGGAGCTCACATTCAGGTTTGACAGCGTGGGGAGAGAACAGCAGAGGGAGAGTTGGAAGCGGCAGGGGTAGGAAGACAGGGAGGTTCAACAAGGGCAGGGATTGGGAGCCCACTGCCTGCCAATGGGAAGCAGAGTCAGACCACATCCGGAAGACCTCAGGTTCCCCATCCCTGAGCAAGAGCTTCACTCAGAATATGGGCTTTGAAGCAGAACAGGTGTACAAAAGGGGACAGGAGTGCAGAAAGAATTGAAGAATTCTAAAGTGACCCAAAGTCCTACAACCAGAAAAAGTCAGGTCCCAGGCAGGTGTTTCTCAGGAGAAAGATGATTCTGCGTCTGTTGAAATGTCCCCTGAATCAGTCAAGGCAAATACACACATGGGATTCAGAAGCATCGCTGCCTCTGATGGTGGAGGGAGAGCAGAGCCAGCCGGACTAGGAGCCATTAGAGCTTCTCCTCCATGAATGTGTCTAGTCCGTCTTTCAGGCCACCCAGGTTGACATCTGATGGGAGGGCTTTCCACAGGGAGGGAGCCACTGCTAAGAAGGCCCTTTGCCTCATACACTCTAACTGAATCACCGGAGGAGGACCTCAGTGTCCGGGCCGAGCGATGGGGGTGGAGACGCTCCTTTGGGGCTGCCTTCAGATGTCTTCTAAAGCCTTTATACTTGCTTGTCTCCTTAGCACAGGGGTGGCATTACTCCATACCCTCCAGGATTTCTCAGAGGAAAACAGGGATGTCTAAAGGAAAATCCCAGCATTCTTTGATCAAATCAGAAACCAGAAATGCTTCTGTAAACCCAGGAGGAGGAGCTTTCGCGCAGGGTATAAAAGGCTTCAGCCCTGGAAGGAGCTCTAGCTCAACTCAGAAGGTTTTCTCCAGCAGCTGAGAGAAGCTCACAGCCAGCCATCATGGTGCACTGGACGGCTGAAGAGAAGCAGCTCATCAACACTTTCTGGAGTAAAGTGAACGTGGCCGACTTGGGTGGGGATATCCTTGCCTGGTAAGTCCAGGGGTGGTCGCCTCTCTAAGCAGGTTGGGCAGGAACTCCTCTTTCCACCTGGATAATAACCATCCGTGCCTCTCCCTTTCTCCTTCCTTCCTTTCTTCCTTCTCTCCAGCTTGTTGATCGTCTTCCCCTGGACCCAGCGTTTGTTCCGTAACTTCGGGGACCTCTCTGGCCCTGCCCCCTCATTAGGAACCTCTCCAGATCTCTTTGCACAAGGTCAAGGAGGCTTTTTCTGAGCTGCGTGAACTGCTCTGCGACAAGCTCCACGTGGACCCCGTCAACGTCAGGGTAAGGCTGCTCCCCCGCCCCAAGGGGCTGCCTGGTGGGGGGGGGTGCCGTGTGTGTGTGTCACTCTGGGTGGCTTACAGGACATAAAACATGGTAAGACATTAGACATTTCCTGTTACAGGGTTGCATTCAGATTTCAGTTAGTTTTTCATTTCCTTGACATCTGGTGGGAGGGCATTCCACAGGGCGGGGGCCACAACCGAGAAGGCCCTCTGCCTGGTTCCCTGTAACCTCACCTTTCACAGTGAGGGAACCACCAAAAGGGTCGCTTTCGAAGGTAGTGCCACATAGAGTGCATTGCAGTAGTCCAAGCGGGAGATAGCCAGAGCATGCACCACTCTGGCGAGACAAGCTGAGGGCGGGTGGGGTCTCATCCTGTGGACCAGATGGAGCTGGTACAAAGCTGCCCTGGACACAGAATTCACCTGCACTTCCATGGACAGCTGTGAGTCCAAAATGACTCCCAAGGTGCGCACCTGGTCCTTCAGGGGCACAGTTACCCCGTTTAGGACCACGGAGTCCCCCACACCTGCCTGCCTCCTGTCTCCCCAAAACAGTACTTCTGTCTTGTCAGGATTCAGCCTCAGTCTGTTGAATCTGCTGTGGGATCTGTTGTGGGGAGAGGGTGACCCACACATGGGCCCCCTGGCAGAAGGAGTCACCCCCTCTTTTCTCTTCCAGCTCCTGTCGAAGTCCTCATCACCCACCCCCCACCCCCTTTGGACAGGAATTCACCCCTGCTTACCACCATGCCTTCCACAAGCTGGTCAGGGTGGTGGCTCATGCGCTGGCCTGCCGGTCCCACTGAGACGCTTGACCCTCTAATAAATCCTCCCTCTGCAATCTGACCCCAGGGAGAAGCGGCCGCCTCCTTCTGCTCTCGCCACCCACCAGGTTTGGTGGGGACCACCCCTTCCAGCCCCCATGTGATGCTTGACCCTCTAATAAATCCTCCCTCTGCAATCTGACCTGGCTTCCTGTGTCTTCTTCTCTGGGACGGAGGGAGGGGACAGGCCTGGGGTGGGGGGTTAGTTGGGGGGGGGCTGGGAAAGGGGGGTGTTCTCTGTCACTCAAGAGGAATCATTCAGCACCAGTGGGGGGTTTTAGGGCGCTATGGCATTTTGCCCCCACCCAAGCTGCAGTGCTTTTCAGAGCCAGAGACCCCTGCTGTGTCCCCAAATCTTTTATCCCCAAAATTCCTGGCAAGGTCCCCCCCCCCCATGCTCCCAGGGCCCCCCCGGTCTCCTTGGTTGTCTCCCCACCCATTTCTTGGTGTTTGCTCCTGTTCTGTTGCCCTCTCTGTTCTTCCTACTCTGGAGAAATTGGGGGTGAAAGACTCAGAGGGGGATGCGGACCCTTCCCCTGCTCTGGATTCCATCCCTCTGAATAAGGGGTGGGGGTACCAACATGGCCACCAAGGGAGACCCCCAAGGGCCACTCCCCCCCCACAATGCCCCTCCCTGCCTCTTTCCAGATGGGTGTCGGGGACGGAGCTGCCTCCGAATTGGCAGAGAGAGGGGGGAATTCATGTCGTTTTATCCATTTATTTGTTCATTAAATATGGGGGTTCACAGGATGAAATTACGATATAAAAACACATAATCAAATAAAAACAAATACAACTCAATAAACACCCCTGCCTACATATTTCACACCCATAACAACATCAAAAGAATTTACCGCCTTCATTGAAACATCAAACAAAGCGATCCAAAATAAAACGCCAGAGGGGCAGCGAACCCAGCAAGTCGCCCTTTGGGGGTCCCAGGCGGAGGTCTATGGGGGGAAAGGGGCAGGTCTCCCCTAACTTTCCGAGGGTATCGAAAGGGCACGACCCGCGCTCGTCCGGTAATTTGTTTTTGGGGGGTTTGTGAGCTGGGATGGAAATCCCTGTCTCCCAGACGAAGCAGAGGCGAGGTTCTCCCCCAGTCCCAGGCTTGGAAGCAGCCGCTCCCCCTGTGGCTTTTGTCCTTCTGACTGCCAGCCAGGTGTCCTCGGGCGCAGAGCAAGCGCCTTCCTTGCGCCCTCAGGCCATTCGCTGGCCCAGAAAGGTGCCTGTCTCCTTCAGCAAAGGATTTCAAACTGTCCCCGAACAGCCCTGGCCAACTCCCGTGGGGAGGGCGGGGAACAGCTTTGAATGGGGACACAATTGGCAAGCGAAGAGGCACACGCCCCCGTGGAAGAGATCCTGACTTCTGATGCAGGAGAAAAGCATCTCTTTGGAAAGACGCTGATTTCTGCTTTGCTTGAACGGGGCAAGGAGGGAGGGAATCTTTTAAGTTATGGGGCTTTTCGGGATCTGCGTCATCTCCCTTCCCTGAAGCAAGGAATGCAAAGATTTCGGGAGGAGCGGACTTTAAATTTGCCTCTTTGCGATGGATTAGTTTTAGAAGTCAGGACTTTGCCTGAAAGAAGATGGAGAGCAACAACCTTGAGGGACTTTTGAGGGATTTTGACCCCCCCCTTGGGACTTCCTCCTGAGAAATAAAAGCAGTAAAGAAGAAAAGAGGGGTGACAACTGGATCGACTGTCTGCTAAGCAGGAAGATTTATGAGTTTTGGGGGGGAGGAAGGAGAGGAGACCAGGATTTTGTGGAGATTACATCAGCCCACCTCCTTGGAGCCTGAAGGTGGAAACAAGAACAGCGATAGGGACAGGAGGGACCACATTGTGCAGCATCTTGACGGCTTTTGAGACACAAAAGAAGAGAAATGGATTCTGCATATTTCTTAATGAGCTGGTTGTATGTAAAATTGAGGATTAAATTTGGAGGAATGTGAAGGGTGGGTGGCACTAGAAGATTGGCAGTGTTACAGGAGGGGATCCATATTATATATTTATACAAAACACCCCTGGGGGTTTCATGTTCACCCTCTGCAGTCCGCGCTAGTGAGGCTGAGTTGCTGGTTATGGGGGCCAGTTTCAATGGCTTATCTCTTGAGGATAATTGAGTCAATTAAGGATAATTAAGTGTACTTTCAGATTATTATTATTATTATTTCACCATTTATCAATTGGAATGTAGGACAGGACTCTGCCCCAGGGAGCTCACATTCAGGTTTGACAGCGTGGGGAGAGAACAGCAGAGGGAGAGTTGGAAGCGGCAGGGGTAGGAAGACAGGGAGGTTCAACAAGGGCAGGGATTGGGAGCCCACTGCCTGCCAATGGGAAGCAGAGTCAGACCACATCCGGAAGACCTCAGGTTCCCCATCCCTGTGCCAGAGCTGCGTTCAAAATATGGGCCCCAGGATCTGGACCTCAGGGTCTGGACTAAACAATGGGGGTGGAGACGCTCCTGTGGGTATACAGGGCTGAGGCCTTTTAGGGCTTTCAAGGTCAACACCAAAACTTTGAATTGTGGTCGGCAGTCTTAGCAGCCCCTCCCAGTCACCAGTCTAGCTGCCGCATTCTGGATTTGTTGCAGTTTCCGTATCACCTTGAAAGGTAGCCCCACATAGAGTGCATTGCAGTAGTCCAAGTGGGAGATAACTAGAGCATGCACCACTCTGGCCAGACAGTCAGGGAGGGTCTCATCCTGTGTACCAGATGGAGCTGGGAGACAGCCTCTCTGGACACAGAATTAACCTGCACCTCCATGGACAGCTGTGAGTCCAAAATGACTCCCAGGCTGTGCACCTGGTCCTACAGAGGCACAGTAGCCCCATTCAGGACCAGGGAGTCCCCCACACCTGCCCGTTCCCTGTCCCCCAAGAACAGTACTTCTGTCTTTTCAGCATTCAACCTCAGTCTGTTGAATCCGTTGTGGGATCTGTTGTGGGTAGAGGGCGACCCACACATGAGCCCCCTGGCAAAAGGAGTCACCCTCTCTTTTCTCTTCTAGCACCAGAGCGAAGTCCTCATCACCCTCCTGGCTGCCGACTTTGGGAAGGAATTTAGCCCTGCTTACCACCATGCCTTCCACAAGCTGGTTGGGGTGGTGGCACATGCGCTGGCCTGCCGGTCCCACTGACACACCCCCAGGGAGAAGCGGCCGCCTCCTGCTGATCTCGCCACCCCCCAGGGAAGAAGAGGAGCCTTCCTTTGTCCAGTGCTTCTTCCTGCTTCTTCCATGTGGTAGTTTGAAGTCTTATTGCAACAATAAAGATCAGGCTAAGTGGCTGCTGTTTTGCTCCCATACTCTTGACTGGTGTCTTTGTTTGACAATCCAAGTGAGCCTGGGGGATGTTCCTGTAACAGGAGGTATGTCAGGGCAGCCGGCACTTTGATGCAACAGCCACGTGGCATCCATTAAGAGGGACCGCTGCCCAATCGACTGTTTCAGCCCACTCCCCAGCCTGGTGCCAACACCATGCCGCCTAAAGAGTTCGTGCAACACACAAGTTACGACAGCCGTCCTTGCACTGAGGCCCACATGCCGAGTTACTAGCAGAGCAGGTTGGCTTTGCAAGAGCCAAGATGAAATATGCTCGGAGTCGTGTGTGGATTTCATGCTCTTTATTCAGCTCATAATAGTGAGGAATTAAAGTTCCCCAAAGTATCTGCTTTATATACATTATTTACACAATGGGTTGCATGTGATTGGCTAATTCCAGGATTCTCCTGTAGGCCAATCAGGTTGCTGATTCACTTCCACCTGGAGTTGAATTGGGTGGCTCCTGCGAACCAATCAGACTGCTGCATTTTGTTTTTGTTTTTTAAGAATAATTTTTAATTAAGCGACCAATCACATCAAATCAAACCAAATTACATAAATTCCAAATTACACAGCCGAATTTCAAATTTTTGTTGGGGGTACCCATATTTCAAGTTCCGAAGGGATCCAATCAACTTCTTGCTTCTTACTGCTGTTTTAATGTCCACAAATCTAACCTTACGATGTTCACAGTACTATCCAGTCCTTTCTTATTATTTTTCCACATCTCTTGTTGTTATTTTCATATATTTTTCCTTTCTCTTTGTGACCTCTGATAGTCTCCGCAAGCTGGTTAGAACAGTTTGTAATCCTGCGTGGATATTTTTTTTTTTTAATCCAGTAGCCATATCTAGACGTTTTCCATATAACATCACTTCCATACATCAAAACAGTCTTAGCGTCATTAATCTTCACCAATCTGCCTCCTTCCTCAAAACCTCTGAGGAGATTCACTAGGAATGCAGTCTGAAAACAAGTCCATTCTTCCTCCCGGCTATAAATCCTTTGGCAAGATGGTGACTCCGAATTAATTGCTGCGCCATTCCCAAAGCTCTTATTGCTTCTCGGTCTCCATAAAGCATACTTTTGGTTAAAGTTTATCTCCACACAGACCTTAATCATCCTGCTTGGGTCAGTTCAACCGACGGTTCTAATGAGGAGGGGTTCTTGTAAATCACATAAAAGGAAAGTAAAAAAGCCCCCCCCCATCCAGCCCCGTTGTCAACATACCGCGCCTTTAGTGTATCTTCATCGTAAAATATTCCTGTTTCTCCAGCCCGTCGTCTTCTTTCGCAGAGGTCACTTAGGTAAATTAGCAGACTTCACTCCCTTCTTCACTTGAAATATGTGCATTTGCTTCTTTTGTAATTAATTATTCCAAATTGCTGAAACTAGTGCCCGATCAGAGACAGCGTCCAGGAGAGCCGAGGTCCACACAGGGGCATTCTGCCTAGGGCCCTCACCCCCTTCTTTCGAATTAAGGGGTGATTTATGGGCACAGCAGGCAAGGGCAGTGTTCCCCATTTCCTTGGGGCAACAAGGGAGGCTGCCTACTCCCATAACAGCCTCTTAATTTCCCCGTGTGGGTCGGAGAGATGGTATTGTGGGCCATCTTCCAATGCGCCCCCTAGTGGCCCCCAGACTGCTGCATTTTGGATCCTATTCAACTCAGTACATAACACAAGAGATCCAGAAACTGAATCACAGGGCTGTAAGGGACTCCAAGGGTCATTTAGTCCAACCCCCTGCAATGCAGGAATCTCAGCAGGACAGAGGGCCATCCAACCTCTGCTTCAAAACCTCCAAGGAAGGAGAGTCCACCTTCTCCCAAGAGAGACCGTTCCACTGCCAAACAGCTCTTACTGTCAGAAAGCTTTTCTGAACATTTAGTTGGAATCTCCTTTCTTGATACTTGAAGCCATTGGTTTGACTCCTACCCTCCAGAGCAGGAGAAAACAAGGTTGTTCCCTCTTCCATGGGACAACCCTTGAGATATTTGAAGATGGCTATCGTATCTCCTCTCCGTCTCCTCTTCTCCAGGCTGATCATACCCAGCTCCTTCAACCGCTCCTCATACGGCTTACCTTCCAGACCCTTGATCACCCTGGTCTCCCTCCTCTGCACACCTTCCAGCTTGTCCACATACTTCTTATTAAACTGTGGTGACCAGAAGTGGACACCGTTTCCAGGTGTGGTCTGCCCAAGGCAGAAGAGAGCAGGACTTTGACTTCTCTTGATCTGGACGCTAGACTTTTGTGGATGCAGCCTAGAACAGCATTAGCTTTTGCTGCTGCATCACAGTGTGGACTCATGTTGAGCTTGAGGTCCACCAAGACCCCTAGATCCTTTTCAAATGCACTGCTAGTAAGCCAGGTCTCCCCCATCCTATATTTGTGCATCTGGTTCTTCCTGCCTAAGTCCACAACCTTATAATACAGTTGTCCCTGTTGAAATTCATCTGGTTAGCTTGTGCCCAGTTCTCCAATCTGTTAAGGCCATTTTTTTTTGTTTTAATATTTTTTATTAAATTTTACACAGATTTTCCAACACAACGTAACAAATTTTTGGCTGTCACAGCCCTGGACTTCCTTCAACCCCTTCTAAAGGTTTTTTTAGTTATGCATTACTATGCTTATTGTTGTAAATCCAGTCTTACATCATCTTAGTCCTTTTCACACACACACAAAAATCAGCTAATCTTAGTCCTTTTCACAAAAATTTGAATAGTCCACCTTACAAAGCTTCTTGCAAATCTACAAGTGATGTTAAGTAATTACTATTGTCTTTCAAATACAACATACCGTATTTTTCGCTCTATAAGACGCACCAGACCACAAGATGCACCTAGTTTTTGGAGGAGGAAAACAAGAAAAAAAATATTCTGTATCTCAGAAGCCAGAACAGCAAGAAGGATCGCTGCGCAGCAAAAGCAGCAATCCTTCTTGCTGTTCTGGCTTCTGGGATAGCTGCGCAGCCTGCATTCGCTCCATAAGACGCACACACATTTCCCCTTACTTGTTAGGAGGGAAAAGTGAGTCTTATGGAGCAAAAATACGGTAAATTTCTTCCAGTCCTTTTCAAAAGTCTGGTCCTGCTGGTTTCGAATTTTCCCTGTAAGTCTTGCCAGCTCGGCGTAGTCCATCAATTTTCTTTGCCACTCCTCTTTTGTTGGTATTTCTTCTTGCTTCCATCTTTGGGCTAGTAATATCCTTCCTGCACTAGTTGCATACAAAAACAGGTTTTTTCCCCAAAATTTTTTAATTAATTTTCACAAAATTATAAACAAACAGACAAAAATCATAACCTTATTAAAATTACACTTATTAACATTGTTAAGTGACTTCCTCGCTTCCCCTTGGTTGAATTTCCATGCATATCCTTTTAACGGCTTTCCAAATCATAATTCTTATGAACTTAACTTAGTCTATTAACATCCTTATATCTTATCAATTCAAAATTAAACATGTTCAGCATCACTTAACTTATATTAATTCCTAAGCCAATCTGTTTCCTGCAAGCTATTTCCAATTAATTTAACTTCACAAATTTAGCTAAATAATCATAAAATTTTGTCCATTCTTCCGGATACTCCTCCTTCTTCTGGCAGCAGACTCTTCTGGTTAGGTCAGCTAGCTCCGAAAAATCCATCATCTTCATCTGCCATTCTTCCACCATCGGTAATTCTTGGGTTTTCCACTTTTTAGCTAATAATATTCGAGCAAGAGTTGTTGCATACAAAAACAACTTAAGATCTTTCTTGGGCAATTCCAAACCTGTTATTCCAAGAAGAAAGGCCTCTGGTTTCTTTATAAATGTATATTTCAACATTATTTTCAGTTCATTATAAATATTTTCCCAGAAGTCTTTCACCTTGGGGCAGGTCCACCACATGTGGTAAAAAGTTCCTTCCTTTTCTTTGCATTTCCAACATAAATGATCACAGTTATGATATATCTTTGCTAATTTAACAGGAGTCAAATACCATGTGTACATCAGTTTCATTATATTTTCCTTTAACACAGTATAGTGGTACCTTGGGTTAAGTACTTAATTCGTTCCGGAGGTCTGTTTTTAACCTGAAACTGTTCTTAACCTGAAGCACCACTTAGTTAATGGGGCCTCCTGCTGCTGCTGAGCACGATTTCTGGGTTAGCGGAGTCTGTAACCTGAAGCGTATGTAACCCGAGGTACCACTGTACATGCAGTGAACCTTACCCCTTTCTTCCACAGTCTTTCCCAATCCTCAAACATTATATTGTGTCCTACGTCTCTTGCCCAATCTATCATCACAGATTTAACTTGTTCATCTTCTGTATGCCACTCCAACAATTAACTTATACATTTTCGACAAATTTTTTACCTTTATTATCCAACTACTGCGTCTCCACCTTGGATTTTTCAGAAGCAAAACCATTTTTCTTATCCATTTTATACAATTAATTTGGTGGTAATGTAACCAGTTTAACTTATCTTTAATTTGTTCAAATGGTTTTAATTTATATCCTTCTTCATCTTCCAACAATAAATCAGAATATCTCAACCATTTGGTATCCATATCTAACTATTTCTGGGCCTTTGCCTCCGTTGGTGAAAGCCATCTGGGTGTCTTTCTTTCTAAAAGATCTTCATATTTTATCCAAACATTATACAACGATTTCCTAATTACATGATTTTTGAAAGCATTATGGGCCTTTACCTTATCATACCATAAATATGCATCCCAACCAAACAAATTGTCGAAACCCTCCAAATCTAATAGATCTGTATCTTCTAGTAGCATCCACTCTTTAATCCAGCAGAATGCTGCTGCTTCAAAA